TCAATATGACTAAACATAGCTTTTCTGTTCTTGAGAAGAAATATTTTTTCTATATGTTCTTATGTTACATTCGATCCTCCATTGTGGCCCCGTCCTACTCTCGGGGGTCATCATTTGAACAAACTTGAATCTACACTACCTGAAGATGCTTCCATATCAATATGACTAAACATAACTTTTCTGTTCTTGAGAAGAAACATTTTTTCTATGTGTTCTTATGTAAAATTTTCTATCCCCCTATTGGGCCCCACCCTACCCTTGGGGGTCATCATTTGAACAAAATTGAATTTACACTACCTGATGATGCTTCCATATCAAAATGACTAATCATGGCTTTGCAGTTCTTCATCAGAAGAAATCTTCCTATATATTTCTATTTCAGACTTTGATCCTCCATTGTGGCCCCACCCAACCCCAGGGGGGCAACATTTGAACAAACTTGAATCTACACTACCTGAGTATACTTCCACATTTAATATGATCAATCAGGGCTTTGCTGTTCTTGAGAAGAAGATTTTTAAAGATTTTCCTATATATCTCTATGTAAAACTTTTATCCTCCTTTGGGGCCCCACCCTACCCCCGGGGGTCATGATTTGGACATACTTAAATCTATACTACCTTAGGATGCTTCCATATCAATATGATTATTTAGGGCTTTGCTGTTATTAAGAAGAAGATTTTTAAAGATTTTTCCTATATATTTCTATGTAAAACTTTGATCCTCCATTGTGGCCCCGTCCTACCCCCGGGGGTCATGATTTGAACAAACTTGAATCTACACTACCTGAGGATGCTTCCATATAAATATGACCATTCATGGCTTTGCTGTTCTTGAGAAGAAGATTTTTAAAGGTTTTTCCCATATATTTCTATGTAAAACTTTGATCCTCCTTTGGGGCCCCGCCCTACCCCCAGGGGTCATGATTTGAACAAACTTGAATCTACACTACCTGAGGATGCTTCCATATAAATATGACTCATCATGGCTTTGCTGTTCTTGAGGAGAAGATTTTTAAAGATTTTTCCAATATATTTCTATGTAAAACTTTGATCCTCCATTGTAGCCCGCCCTACCCCCGGGGGTCATGATTTGAACAAACTTGAATTTACACTACCTGAGGATGCTTCCATATAAATATGACTCATCATGGGTTTGCTGTTCTTGAGGAGAAGATTTTTAAAGGTTTTTCCCATATATTTCTATGTAAAACGTTGATCCTCCATTGTGGCCCCGCCCTACCCCCGGGGGTCATGATTTGAACAAACTTGAATTTACACTACCTGAGGATGATTCCATTTAAATATGACTCATCATGGCTTTGCTGTTCTTGAGAAGAAGATTTTTAAAGGTTTTTCCCATATATTTCTATGTAAAACTTTGATCCTCCATTGTGGCCCCGCCCTACCCCCGGGGGTCATGATTTGAACAAACTTTAATCTACACTACCTGAGGATGCTTCCATATAAATATGACTCATCATGGCTTTGCTGTTCTTGAGAAGAAGATTTTTAAAGGTTTTTCCCATATATTTCTATGTAAAACTTTGATCCTCCATTGTGGCCCGGCCCTACCCCCGGGGGTCATGATTTGAACAAACTTGAATCTACACTACCTGAGGATGCTTCCACATGAGTTTCATCTTCCCTGGCTTTGTGGTTCTTGAGAAGAAGATTTTTAAAAGATGCTATTAATTTTTCACTAATTCTTTATTATCTCCCCTTGAAAGAGGGCGTGGCCCTTCATTTGAACAAACTTGAAACCCCTTCACCCAAGGATACTTTGTGGCAAGTTTGGTTGAAATTGGCCCAGTGGTTCTTGAGAAGAAGTCGAAAATGTGAAAAGTTTACAGACAGACGGACGGACAGACGGACAGACGGACTACAGACAAAATGTGATCAGAAAAGCTCACTTGAGCCTTCGGCTCAGGTGAGCTAAAAATACTTATAAAATACATAACAATACTCACTCGAAGAGGAAATGATGAGGTTCTTTTACTGAGTGTTTGAAGCAGACTCCAGTGTGAGCCAGAGAGAAAGGGAGAGCACTGTTAAACATCTTGTGAATGTCCCCAAAATGATCCAAACACTCTGTCATAATACATAATAAACATCACTAGCCTGAAATGAGCTTTCTACCCTTGAAAATGTAGATCTTGGGATTATCTTATACAGTCTTACCTTCTTGAAAACTTTCTCTCAGAGAATTACTTGACCTGATTAAAAAACAATAGTGGTGGTTAAAACCATGGAGAATGTAGTAATATTTTCATTTGCTATTAACAACAAACAAAACACCTGGAAAAATTTTGACCTTACTTGTCCGTTTTCAGAATTCCTCCCTCCACTGGGAAAACCCTCCAATCTTGTCTAATCACCACCCAGTCCCACCTATAACAGAATGGCCATGTTTATAAGTAAAGATTATTATACTCTAGCAGAAATATATGTGGAAATATTCATTTACATTTAACAGATTACAGAACAAGAGGCTCACGGGCCACAACGCTTACTCTTCAAAACATCAGTCCCATCCTAGTGCCAGGGGTGATAATTTGAACAAGCTTGAATCTAAACAACCTGAGGATACTTCCAATATTTTACTATGATTAAGATTCTCTCAAAGATTTTTCTTTGTTTTTCTTTTGTGGCCCCAGCAGTCAAAAAGTTGCATCTACAGGACCTGACAATGTTTGCATATTTAATTACATGTATATCACTAATCAAGGACCTGATCATGAATTAAATTTTTTTTAAAGTTTTTAATATATATATAAATCCCACGTAAAACTTTGATATCCTTTTTGTGGGCCCATCCTATTTGATGCAGCAATGTTTTAAACAAAGTAAAATCTGCACTTACTGAGGATGCTAGCATATTATTATCACTAATCATGGACCTGCTACACTTGAGAGGAAAATTTTTAAACACATTTTTCTAATATCCCAGTAGGGATAAAAGTTTCAAATGGGTCCAATCCTTCCCTGGAAGGTCATGATTTGAAATAAACTTGAACCAAGGTATAAATCATACACTCTGTACTAACATTAGTATTTTTGTTAGCTTACCATAAAAGGTAGCATTGTTACTCAACATACCATGTTTGTCTAATATTTCTCTTCAGTAAAGTCCCTGCTGGTCCAAATTTATAGCTGCTTCCACTGTGGTCTGCCGACTTCTGAGTAACAAACCCACGGAGTTGTAGAAGGTGTTTCAGTTTTGGCCACTGTTCTGCCGTAACCTTGCCCATTTGGTTACCTCATGTATTATGATAGCACTAGTGTATATCATTATCTATAGGAGAATATGCAGTATTATGATTTAAACAAACTGTGGATTAACTTCTAAAATTAGTTAATATAACCCACATACACTTAGCCTGCAATAACATAACACATCATAAAATTTGTCAATACCTGGTACTTTGATATGCGTTAAACTTGATCTGAAATATACACAATTTTTGACAATTGTAATTCACTTTCTCCCATTATCAACTTTTTCATCACTCCCACGTGGTTGTTCTTTTTTTGTGTTCATAACTTGTTATGACACACCTAGGTCTACTCTGATTATACCTAAGTACAACAATTCTAATTGGCTATTTTTTCCAGGATCTACTCTCAAAGATCATGCCTATGATGGCATATGACATGGGTACAGTGCATATTTGTAAACATCTATCATTAAATTTTTTATTCTTTTATCTTTTCCCTTGTATATTTCTTTTCGACAGACTGTCGAGGTATATTACCCAGGATGCACACATTATCAGGATCTGGCAAACTCTTCAGTGCCATGTTTATTTCACCCAAACACACAGGTTGTAATACGAAAAAAACAGGTCAATCATAGAACTTAGAAAAACAGGTCCCATGACCAATGCTCATTAGTTAACTGTTTTCTCAAACTCAGTCTCGTTCCTTAATTTTTTGATTTTCAAGAGACACTCAGCTAGCCTTGTGTCTCCTGAAAATTAAAAAAAAAAATAAAGAATGAGAGTCTGAGAAAAACTGTTTACTATAACGAGCATTGGTTATGCATGGGACCCATAATTTCTCAGTTCTATGATTGATTCTCCCCCTATGTGACATGACAGCCATCACACTCTCTGTCAATCTGATAACTCTCCTAGTCTGGCCTCTTGATACTGATGTTTGAGAGAGGGATCTGGTGGCATACACAATGAAATACAGGGAATCCCCTTGTACCAACCAGTAGAGGTCTTTTTCTTCACAAATTCTTATAATCTGCCATGCCAAGTCACACACAGATTTGTAAATAATAACAAACAACATTGTCTTTCTGCACCCAATATATACAGCATCTCCATGATCTCAGTGCAAAATAAAAATGAATGGATAAGAATAAATTTTAACTACATGCAGCTAGGTTAATTTTAATAAGGCATGTGCTCTGACTCTTTAATGCACTATCCCTATGAACAGATACAAGCCAGAGTTGGAGGAATTCTGCATCAATTCACAGTGAATTAATGCAGTGAATCAAAATTTGTTAACTTTTAAATTAATTCACAAAAAAATATTGTATTGTTGAAGCTAGGGATGTTATGTGGGTTAAATATTGTAAGTTAGTTAATGAGTAGATCTAAATTAACTTATCCAGTGGCATAACTAGGTGAAAATAATGTGGATGCTTTTCAGGGCAACTGGGGCGAGGCTTACAGGAGACTAGGACAGGGCAAGTGGGGAGGGGGGGGGGCGGAGTGATGGGACCAAAGCTCTTTGGAAATTGATAAATTAAGAGTTTGTTCAAATGAAAACCAATATTTTCCTTGATTTAAAGGTATCAAAGTTGTTTATCACTGTCTTGAAAATTCATGTCAATGAGTTTCTCTACTTACACATGTTATAACTATAAGATGCAGGATCGGCGATGCAATCGTACAAGCACGTGCTTCCGGTGGCAAGGGAGGTAAACGCATTGTTGTCAAATAGTAGTGTCAAACGAACGACGATGTAATATCACAGAACTGCAAGATGCCTGGACTGATTGCCTTTAACAGAAGATGGGGAATAGGGTCAGATGATTTCGTCTTCCCAGAACTCCTCGAGTTATGTTTGCGTGTAATTTGGTAAATTATTTTCATAATTGATGATCATACACCAATGCGTCATATCAAGACCAAGTATATTGTAGCCTATTATTCCGAGATTCCTCTGACTCTAACCCCTGCTTTTATATTGTGACATGTCTCCCCTGCACATGTCACAATATAAAAGCAGGGGTTAGAGTCAGAGGAATCTCGGATGAGTAGCCTATATATGTAGCTCGTATGAAATATAAAGTTTAACATGATAAATCTGCTCTTCTCTTTAGTGTAAATGCTATGCCATAATTTATATGCAGTTCATGAGTAAAAACAAAACTAGAGGATATTAAATCTAAGTCTCCTAAACACTTCTTTTATTGAAGACGCATATATACCAGAAACAAATTAGGAAGCTATTATCTCATTTTGTCCTCCCAATATGCACTAAAACATTTTACACGGAGAGGAGAAAATGCAACAGACCAGACCAGGATTCAAACCCTGGCCTCCTGATTAACTACTCAGTAATTAGGTTCTCTACCAACTGAGCTATCTGGCCGTCTCACTGCCACGTTCCTCGATCCTCCGTAAACGTCTTCACTCCTGAGAACACCTGTCACTTTCAGGGAATGGTCATGACACCAAATGTAGTCGGAGAGGAAAAAATGCTGCTAACCAGGCCAGGATTTGAAACCTGGTCTGGTCCATGGCATTTTTCTGCTCTCCGGTTACTGAAAAAATATCTGATCTGAATTACCAGTCAGGTACTCTACCAACTGAGCTACCTCAGGCCACCAGCAATTGAACCCATCTGACTGCCAAATTTCTACCAATATGAAGTTAAGCATCAATTTTTAATTAATATGTAAATCATATAGATTAGTGATATTCTCTGCGATTCATATCCTCCTTAATTCACATCAGTATTGTCCTAGCTATTACTGTGTTACACTGTAACAGAAATGGAGAAAACTCTAAGTAAGACCCAGGATTTAATCTAGGGGGCACTAGAACTTGACCTGCTATCTGGCCACTGCTGAACAAACATGCCTGAATGACCAACACATTCCACTCTACTTAAATGTCTTCCCTCCCCCCTCCCCCTTTTCCAACACCACCTAAAGATGTGTAACCAACCCAGACTCTTTCTTATCTGGTCTTTCACCTAGCTGTCAGTTCCAGGGCATGGCACCAAATGAAACAAGGGAGAAAATGTGATGGACCAGAATTCTAACCTGGTCCCCCTAGGCAAGTGCTCTACCAAATGATCTGGTCAGGCTACACTGGCAAACAAACCTACCTGACCTCCACACCTGTACATAATTCTTAATTAAGCTGAAATGAACCTGGAACTGAGATGAATCATATTGAGTACATGTATATTCTTAAATATGTTTTGCAGGTTAACAGTGATTGCGATTGTATATAGTGTGCACAGTGAATCCATATATCAATGCAAAGATGGAAATCTGTTGAAGATCTACTACATTGGTTTCATGGCTCTGCTAAGTGTGGCAATTATAATATGCGCATGTATAGTGTATGTGAGTAGCCGAGGCACTATCATGATAACTGGCCCCAGAAAAAAGCTTGCCAAATTACTGTATTTAAAACTAGTCATCACAGTTCCAGAAATTGTCTGGAACATTCTAGGAACATACTGGTCATTTTTACGTTCCAGTAACTGCCAGGTTTTTGTTGTTAAGACCGTCCAGGGGGCAGTCCTCACAGGATGGATTTTAGGAGTGTTGGTCATTATAGGGATAATAGTAGTGTTTGATCCACTTGGAAAATTAAATAAGATAAAACCTAGGATTTCTGGTGAATTACAAAGCAAAGAATCAACACAGTTTTTAGAAGGTGCTATGAGTGCTGCCAAAAAGGCCTGGGAAAAAAGGTAAGGTTCACTTTTAGATTTGATAATTTACACACAATGTGCACACATGCATTTACATTTTACAAAAGGGTAAGAAAGATCAGGAAATACTTAATTTAAGTTAACGTAACACTGTCTCTTTGTTACTCAAATTTCCTGTTCACATGCATATAGTTTCCATTGAAAGAATGTGTTCAATTGATATCCTAGATTAAGACTTTTTTTTCTACATGTGTAGTTGGTATATATAAACTTAAGTTTTGAAATGAATATATTTCAAGCTAGTAAGCTTTTATGTTCTCTTCTTTCCAATACATTTTTACTGTAAATGATACGAATTAATTAAGGAAAAGATTTAGTAGATTACATGGATTACTTGATTATAAGGGAGTCAATGGGATCACCAATTTTACTTCCTTTAATATAACCAAGATTTTTTTTATCCGTATAAGGAACATAGTGTAGCCTTCTATGGGATTCACAAAAAATTCATTATAACCAGGATTTCCTTCTAAGCAAGTTCTTTTTAATTGATTTTACTGTAACAGTATATACATGTATAAATTTAAATCTCTTTTTGGCTTACAAAATGAACTAAATAAATACATATTACTACACAAGTGTGATAAAGTTTTTGCAAATAGCTAATAAAAACATGAGATGTTTTTTTCTACTACTTGAAGAAATAAAAAACATCAACAAAACAGCATTGATATAAGGGCATATCCTATTTAATTTTACAGGAGCAGTTTTAATAAGGAGTAAAATATTCCAAAGATTTGGAGTATTCAGTTATACAAATGTTGTTAATTAAATTGTTAAGTTACTTATTGTAGAGTTTTCAGCTGAAACTTGGTTAAAATGTATAGCCCAGCCTGAAGTTTTATTAAATTCTCAATAAAAGAGATAATGCATAGGTTTTATGCAGTAGTTCCGTCAATCTTTAGAATATTCTTCTTATTATATCATATGTATATAAAAAATAAAATGTTATGTCATTGTGCTAAAGCTGTATTGTTGATGTTCTTTATAACATCTACATTTGAACTTCTGTATCTCGAACATGGATATCTTGAATATCATGGATATGTGGAAGTGACTGGGAAGTCCTTACCATGTATTTCTTAAGTATTTTACCCTCAATATCTCGAACCCCTTGGATATATTGAAGTTTTTTCCTCGGTCCCATTGAGTTTGAGATAACAAGGTTTGACTGTGGTAGTAAAAAACAATGACATACTATGATAGTGTACTGACTATAGCTTGTCATTGGTACTAAGAATGTATTAGAAATAGAGTCTAAACCTTCTTCATGTAAAAGGTATACCTCTTATGTGTTTTGTTTGGCTCATTTGCATAGAAACACCCATATGTAGCCTTAACTCACCTGTGTATAGAAACGTTATGTAACAAGCCTCTTTTCCAGATGTAGACTTTTATGTACCATTAGTCTCTTTTCGAGATGTAGACTTTTATGTAACATTAGTCTCTTTTCCTGATGTAGACTTTTATGTACCATTAGTCTCTTTTCGAGATGTAGACTTTTATGTAACTAGCCTCTTTTCCAGATGTAGACTTTTATGTAACATTAGCCTCTTTTCGAGATGTAGACTTTTATGTAACAAGCCTCTTTTCCAGATGTAGACTTTTATGTAACATTAGCCTCTTTTCGAGATGTAGACTTTTATGTACCATTAGTCTCTTTTCGAGATGTAGACTTTTATGTACCATTAGTCTCTTTTCCAGATGTAGACTTTTATGTACCATTAGTCTCTTTTCGAGATGTAGACTTTTATGTACCATTAGTCTCTTTTCGAGATGTAGACTTTTATGTAACAAGCCTCTTTTCCAGATGTAGACTTTTATGTACCATTAGCCTCTTTTCGAGATGTAGACTTTTATGTAACAAGCCTCTTTTCCAGATGTAGACTTTTATGTACCATTAGTCTCTTTTCGAGATGTAGACTTTTATGTAACAAGCCTCTTTTCCAGATGTAGACTTTTATGCTGTTGTGTACTGGGGGATGAACAGAGCAAGGATGCTTTTGATGAAATCAGTCAACTTCTAGCAGATTTCTTCCAGGTACAATATTATTGATTAACTCTAAATTAATATTTAGTCAACTTCTAGCAGATTTCTTCCAGGTACAATATTATTGATTAACTCTAAATTAATATTTAGTCAACTTCTAGCAGATTTCTTCCAGGTACAATACTATTGATTAACTCTGAATTAATATTAGAGTCAACTTCCAGCAGATTTCTTCCAGGTACAATCTCACTGGTTACTTAAATACCTGGTAACTCTAAATTAATTTTTAGTCAACGTGAAGCAGATTTATTCCAGGTACAATCTCTTTGATCAACTTCAAGTTTATTTCTGAATCACTGTACCTCTTGTGGTTAGCTGGAATTATGAATAAGTTTGATTGAACATGGTTTGAGTGAGTAAGGTTGTATAGTTGTTTTCCATTTCAAACAATATGAAACTTTTAAATTACATGCACACTTGTTTTATATATATTTATAGTCCTCAAACTTTTGAAAGTTGAGAACTACTTTGATGTCTTATTTTCAGGACCTGGACTTGGTGCCTACTGATATTGCAGCTGGTCTAATCTTAGTACAAAGGGATCAGGAAAAACTCTTCAACAGTGGTGGCAAGTCTTACAACACGTTTGCAGAGCTTCAAACAAGGTCAGATTCAAATAATTCAACACTTCTTCTAAAATATAGCAACAAGCTATTCTTCTTACTGGCAGAAAATGCAGTGATGCACTTTGAAACTATAATAAACTTGAGTAGGGCATTTGTTTAAACATAATTTATGTCATTGTTGTAAGCCACAGGTTTTTATACGCCCATCTTTAGACGGGACTTATTATGTTTTGGCATTCATGTCCGTCTGTCTGTCTGTTAGCTTTTCTCGTGTCTGGCTCAGAACTTTAATACTATTAGGCCTAGGATTATCAAACTTTGTCAGCTGATACTTCTTGGGTAGAAGGTGTGTCGCGCATTAAAAGTAGGTCGCTCTGACCTTTAATTAAGATGCTATGGCCAAATATGGAAAAATCCTGTCCGGCTCATAACTAGAAAACTATTAGCATCAAACTTGGCCAATTTATGCATCTTAGGTAGAGGTGTGTCGCGACCTATTTCAAAGTCACTGTGACCTTTAATTTAAGTGAAATTTAAAAATAAAACTGTCTTTTTATTATTTGATTACACAATCCCAAAAAATGCAAGAGTGTTGCAGTATCCTTATTAAAAATATGTTAAATCAAGAAAATACTTATTTTTTCATTATATACTTTACAGCAATCTATAACAAATGTAATGTTGCAAGAGAAATTCCACCTCTCCCATGGGTGTAATTATCAAGCACTGGTCAAGGAGAATTTGATAACAGAAAATTGCATGTCAAATTAGAGAGAAATTAATGTGTTGAGTGTGTGGAGCTAACTGGTAGAGCATCTCTGATCAAGCAGGTGTTATCTATATCTCCTGGGAACTGGGTAAAAAGAATCGGCCCTGTTGGATTAAATAGTTGGCTAGTCTAACTTTGAAAATGAATTTGTTGAAAAGTAATTGAAACTTATTTGATATTGTATAATAAATTAAATTGATATTGTATAATAAAATAATTGATATTGTATAATATAATTAAAACTAATTATACTTTGGGGGGGGGGGGGGGGGTGTATTGGAATCAGCATGTCCGTTGTCTGTATGAATTGCAGCTTAAAACCAGTCTGACATTAAATCTAAAAATAATCAAGTATTTTTAAAAAAATGTTTTAATTATGGTAGATAGTCCCTACAAATCTAAGAGTAATGCAGGAAACTTATTAAAAATATTGCATCAAGATTACACATTTTTTTTTCTTTTTATAAATGTTTGTAACAAATAAAAAAAAAATCTTTGTTTTCAAATTTAATATCAGAATGACATAAATATGCAGTTTTATTGCACTACAAAGTAGATAGTATCCAATATAGATCTATTTATCCGTTGGGAGTAATGAGTGGACATGCATCCAGATAAAGATTAATTAATGAGTTCAGTGTAGGAAGGCTAGCTGTCTCAATCATTCTGTTAGAGGATCTCTGATCAAGCAGCTCTTATATGTATCCTTTGGGAATTAGACAGAAGAACTGCTTGTCAGTTTATAGCATATGTCATTTGATGGCCAGCCTTTTATTTTTGATATTAATTTGATATAGATTAAGTTGTTAAGACTAAATTGATATTGTTTAATATGATATTTTAATTATTTTTTTGAAAATATCAATCAACAAATTCAGAGCATCATGTCTCACAAATCTGAAAGCTGGAGGGGGGGGGGGGGGCTGCAGATGGGCATTTGTCAAGCACTAACACAACCAGTAGAAGATCTATAATGTAATATTTGTTATAATTAATGCCTACACCACAGGAGATGTATAAACAAATATTATGAGGAATGCAAAAATCACTGAAATCCTTGTATCAAGGTTGACATGGTTTTTTTGCACTCTAAACTGTTTATGACAATTGAACAATATTTGACGGGCGTATCATGCTGTGGCGAGGCACTTTATGTGTATTCTATTTCTACAAACAAGCCATGGGTTTTATGTCCATTCGAATGGATGCAAAACCTTTGGTTTGCGACCTTTGTAGAAATAGAATGGACACAAAACCTGTGACTTACGATGATGAATTTATGTTAGCAGATATTTGTCATGTTGTTTAGTGTAAAAGCACCTGTTGGCAGCAGCAATGATACCCCCATAGGCCCTACCCCCTGGATGACTTCCACAAACATGCATCACTACATGAAGTATGCAGCAGGCAGTTATGGGTGGCCTATGTATATGTTTACTCATCTAGCAACTGGGCTCTGTCGACTTTGTGGGGCATGTAGGTAAGGGGGTACAGTATATTAGGATACACAATGTATACTGTAAACCAACTATTATTTGCGTCATCTTTTATTCGCGATTCGTCAGTTTAAAATCAATCCGAGACGATTAATTTTCGCGACTGAAGAAACATTCTATACAAATACAAAGCAAAATAAATAGTTTGCGGCAATTATTATTCGCGACTTAAAGTATGTCGCAAAACTCGCGGATATTTTTCGCATGCGAATAAAAGTTGGTTTACAGTATTTTGATATGAGACCGATTACTGGGCTCTCTTGACTTTGTGGGGCATGTAGGTAAAGAAAGAATGAACAAATACAGTATGATGCAATGTTCAATGTTCTGACATGATGACCCATTTAATACTGGGCTCTCTTGACTTAATTACCAATTTTGTTTTACACTAAGATGCCACACTTGTTACCATGGAGGTGAAGTCATAGATGACAACTGTTGTCAATGTCACACGGCGGCCATTAGGCGACAGACAAACATAGCAGATCAAGACCTCCCCTATGTCACCTTCCATAACAAGGCAAGTGATTTAGCTTTGGTGAACTCTAAATCATAAGAAACAATGGACCCCACCCACTATGCATCATGTATTTTAAAACCTGCTGAATTTTAGTGTAAGCGGTACAAAGGGGTATTTTCCTATGTCTTTTTATAAACACACAGGAATGATTCCAAGAACTGTTGATGTCTATTGTGCAGTGATGTAAAATCTGAGGGTTAAGATGCATTGCTTCACCATACTTCTGTTACATTCCATGTTATAAGACAATCTGTTGGTTTGTAGATTTTTCAGATCCCATTCTATGTAGCAATAGACAGAGCTCACCAGACAGTGGTCGTGTCCGTCAGAGGAACTTTATCACTGAAGGTAAACACAACCTGTTCTGATCAGAATTCTTATTAAGATCATTTGTGACACATTTGTTTGTTAATTTATGAAATTTGAAACTATATCTAAATGATGGCTTATATACATATACCCTTTTCATAATTTGGTAGATAATTTAAAATTGATTTTGTGCTTAAAGATACTTGACCCAAAGGGCATATGCCCTCTACAATGTACTAGCCCAGATTAAAAATTCACTGGCCCCAGACCAGTGGGACATCAATTATTTTGGGCCCTGTAATTCATAATTTACAGCCATATACAAGTACTTTTTTTTATGAAGATATGAGTATTACCATCACCTTTTCCGATATAATAGGTTATATACAGTAAAAACTGTCTTATCCGACACCTGTACAATCTGTTCCACTGTGAATTCTGACCTTTATTTTCATTCCCATTTTACTATCTTGAGTGGTTTTTACACTGTGTAATCTGACATCTGTCTATTCCACCGTAAAATTTGTCTCCCATAGACAGGTTTCACTGTATATCCAAAGTTAATAGCCCTGAGAAGATTCCCATAACTGGCATTGGTCTTGAAAGCTTGTGCACAGAAATCATTGCCAAATATGGATTCACATCCAGTTTCCTTTAATTTTTTCATTGTTTAAGATTGTGTTGTATGTGTTTTTTTTGACACAGGACGCTGTGACAGATATGTCTGCAGAATGTGACCCTCTTGAAATGTTAGAGGATGCGAAGGCACACCGAGGCATGCTCCAGGCAGCTAAATACATCCAGGAACAACTGCAGTCTAAAAGCATTCTAGATGCAGCATTTCAACAAGTTCAGGTGAGAATGTACTGTATATCAACAACTGCTGACTAAAGCTATTCTAGACACAGCATTCAAATGATTTCTGCTGAGAGTATACATGTAAATCAACCTAACATATGACACTAAACTCTCATTGTTATCTAGAATAAACTCTTCATTAATATCCTGTGGAAATATTTCTAACCAAGGTCTGGGATTACATTGATATATATATATATTACAGGGTGCTGGACTGATGATTTGTGGTCATAGTTTAGGAGCTGGTGTAGCCTCATTATTAGCTCTGTTACTGAAGTCTGATTATCCAGATGTGCGGTGCTTTGCTTATTCTCCACCTGGAGGTCTTTTGAGGTAGGCTTAAAAGTCATTTCTTATAAAGGGGCTTAGGCACAGATTTGAAGTTAATATTATTTTTCAAAACTTTTTGATGTAATATCATGACTTACATGTTTCTAAAGCATTTCAGACCAATATATTGTAAAAGTGCATTTGCAAACTTCATAAATATGAAAATTTTGAAAACAACAAATTTCAGGATACATTTGATTGACACACCCCCCCCACACTTTCAGGAAGTATAATTTATTCTTAATGTTTAAGAAAATTAGAAAATTTGTTGTGTGGTTATGAAAAATATTAAAACTATTATCCAGAAAATTCAAAGTAGAAATGTTAGAAAGCAAAACCAACACACAAGCATTGTCAGTTTGTGTTCATTGATGTGTGCTGAGTTAACAAATTGAACACACCTGGTAAAATGTAAACATAAACAATAAGAGATCTTGTGCCCATGTATACAAAGACAGATGTTTGACCTAATTTTTTGAAGAATGTCATTGTCATTGATCAATGTTTTAAGAATGTGCAGATAAGTTCAATTCATTAAACTGAAGTTATTTTTGGGAAAAAAAAGAAAATTAAAATTGTAAACCAAATGACAATACAGCTGTGTCCAGGCCCCTTTAAGGTATGATTAGAGATCACTATCAGAGATTTTAGAGGTAGAATATTAGGTAATTTCTCTAAGAGTTAAAGGTACAACCCATTTTTGTAAAGGAGAAATTCTAGTAAGTAATCTCTCAAGATGTTTGAATTCAAGATACTTTCTCCTTTGGACTTTAGGATTTTAGTCTATTTTTAGGTATGAAACGACAAGTTTAGTACAGGTGTCTTTAGCAAAAAAAAATCACAACAGAACTATAGTTGCTTACATTTATAGGAAAATATTCTGATGTACTATAAAGTCTCATTTTTCCACATCAGGGCCACTGGAAGCTCTGGTAGGACCACAGTATGGGTTCACATTATAAACAGGGATATATAGAATTAGATACCTTAAAAATTATCTTGTAGAGAAAGTACAATTAAGACAAGATCCCCTTGTAATTCAGATTCACATTCGTTAAGAGTTGTTGTCCAGGACTGTAATGAGCTATCAGTCCAGAATTATATAACCTGTCTCCTAGCTTGGCTAATGGAAAAGGCAGACTGAGGAAAAGTTCCTCTTATACTGAAAGTAAAATTTATCATTTACATTTTCTTTACTCCCTGACATCCAGCAGTCATACTGTCAGCTTGACTGTGATGAACACTGCCAAAAACTGTTAAATTACTCACTGTTGAGTGTAGAGATCAAGTTCTAGGGTGGGGCTTTTGAAAATACATTAGACATATACATGTAAAATTGTTTGCATGCTTATACCAAGAAAAGAGCTAGAAATTTTAGGACAAATCAGACACTTAATTGGATATTATTATAAATATTGAATCTTTTTCCATGTCCTGTTGTTTGTTCCAGTTACAATGCTAGTGTTTTCTGTCGAGACTTTATTTGTTCTGTGATTCTGGGAAAGGACTTCATTCCAAGATTAGGTCTTGTTTCCATGGAGGATTTAAAAGCAAAGACATTACAATGCATAGCTAATTCCAAAATACCAAAGGTAAATCATTTCATTACATATCTACCAAAAAATTGATTAATTAACACTTTTGTAATTTTTTCATAAACTATGCTACTTCTCTAATTGTCTGTTGGGTTCAAAATTAACTTTTATTACCATGAGAAAACTTTAGCTACTTGCAAAATTATTTACTCGCAAAATCGAAAATTCACTAATAATTTTAAGAAGTTATTCAATAATGGTATATTTAAGCTTGAGTTCAATGTAAAAGTTACTGCACTAAGGGCACTTTATGGGAGCTAGGGCTCAAAGGATTGAGAATTTCACGGTCAATTGTGTTTTAATTAACTTATTTGCATATGAGTAGAAACACCCATACCTAGCCTTAACTCACTTGCATATTCTTGTGATGTCCATTTAGTACACAGTTATCAGTGATTATTGTAATATTATTCTGTACCAACTTATTTGGATAAACTTTGCCATTAATTTTTATTCACTTCTAACATTGTATGATGTTTTGTGAAATACTATTTTATTTCTTTCAATAGTACAACACTTTCATGTATGGTGAGTGCTAGCTACTCTGTTATTGGTAGTCGGAGTTGTTCTGTAATCGGTAAATTCTGTTACTGAAAGTGGAAGTTGTTATGTTATAGAAAGTGGTAGTTCTTATGTTATTGTTCTGTTAAAGTCCCCACTGGTGAAACTGGAGGGGACCTTGCCTGTCCATCTGTCTGTCCCACTTTGTTTTTCCACACTTTTTTCCTACACATTTGCAGTATTAAGCTGATTTTGGTTTTTGAGACTTCTTTGCTGAGTTACAGATCGAAGTTTGCATTTCGTTTTGCTTGGATGATTTTTTATGGAATTAAAGCCTTCTTAATTTTTTAAAGGAAACAATATTACACCTGGCCTTAGGGGACTAGTATTTCCTATGCATTGCTCTCAAAAGTAGTGTTTGCTGTTCTGTTACTGATATTATTAGCTTTTCTGTTATTGGTAATTATAGCTATTCTGTTATTGGTAGTATTCATTCATCTTTTATTTCCTCTATTACAGAGATTTTTTAACATGGCAATTGTATCTTAAATAAGTTATAAATTAATCATAGTGTGAGAAGAAAAATAAGAAAGAATACATATTGTAAGTAATGAAAAAAAATTAAAAAGAGGGGAAAAAAAAAACACAACACATTCTAGCCATTCCGTACCTGGAAGTGTTAGCTATTCCATTACTGGAAGTGTTAGCTATTCTGTTACTGGTAGTGTTAGCTTTTTATACGCCTGTCTTTAGACGGGACGTATTATGTTATGGCGTTCATGTCCGTCCATCTGTCTGTCTGTTAGCTTTTCTCGTGTCCGGCTCATAACTTTAATACTATTAGGCCTAGGATTATCAAAGTTTGTCAGCTGATACTTCTTGGGTAGAAGGTGTGTCGCGCACAAAAAGGAGGTCGTTCTGACCTTTAATTAAGATGCTATGGCCAAATATGGAAAAATCCTGTCCGGCTCATAACTAGAAAACTATTAGACTTAGAATCATCAAACTTGGCCAGTTTATGCATCTTAGGTAGAAGGTGTGTTGCGACCTATTTCAAGGTCACTGTGACCTTTAATTTAAGTGAAATTTAAAAAAAAAAAACTGTCTTTTTACTGTTATATTACACAATCCCAAAAAATGTATAAGTGTTGCAGTATCCTTATTAAAAAAATGTTAAAATTAAGAAAATACTTATTTTTTTCATTATATACTTTACAGCAATCTATAACAAATATAATGTTACAAGAGAAATTCCACCTCTCCCATGGGTGTAATTATCAAGCACTGGTCAAGGAGAATTTTGATAACAGAAAATTGCATGTCAAATTAGAGAGAAATTAATGAGTTTAGTGTGAGGAGCTAACTGGTAGAGCATCTCTGATCATGCAGGTGTTATCTATATCTCTTGGGAATTGGGCAGGGGAATCAGCCATGTTGGATTACGTAGTTTTTGTGGGCTAGCCGAACTTTTAAAATGAATTTGGTGAAAAGTAATTAAAACTAATTTGATATTGTATAATAAACTTATTTGATATCTTATATTAAACTAATTAATTAAAACTAATTATACTCGGAGGGGGGGGGGTGATATTGGAATTAGCATGCGGGTTGTCCATATGAATTGCAGCTTAAAACCAGTCCGACATTGAGTCTAAAAAAAAAAATCAAGTATTTCAAAAAAAGTTTTAATTATGGTAGATAGTCCCTACAAATCTAAGAGTCAAGCAGAAACCTTATTAAAAATGTTGCATCAAGATTACAATTTTTTTTTCTTTTTATAAATCTTTGTAACAAATTGAAAAAAAAAATCTTTGTTTTCAAATTTAATTTCAGTATGACATAAATATACATTTTATTTGCACTGCAAAGCAGATAGTGCAGATCCATTCATCCCTTGGGAGTAATGAGTGGACATGCATCCAGTTAAAGATTAATTAATGAGTTCAGTGTAGGAAGGCTAGCTGTCTCAATCATTTCTGTTAGAGCATATCTGATCAAGCAGTTCTTATCTGCATCCTTTGGGAATTAAACAGAAGAACTGCTGGTCAGTTTATAGCAATTATTTCATTTGATGGCCAGTCTTTTATTTTGAAATTAATTTGGTATAGATTAAGTTGTTAAGACTAAATTCATATTGTTTAATATGATATTTTTATTTAATTTTTTGAAAATATCAACTAACAAATTTCAGAGTATCATGTTTCACAAATATGAAAGATGTGTGTGTCACTGTTGTGTGTGTGTGTGTGTGTGTGGGGGGGGGGGGGGGGGGGGGAGGGGGGCATTTGTCAAGCTCTAACACAACCAGTTGAGGATGAGGATCTATAATGTAATATTTGTTATAATTCATGCCTACACCACAAGAAATGTATCAACAAATGTTATAAGGAATGGAAAAATCATGGAAATCCTTGTATCAAGGTTGACTTGATTTTCTTGCACTCTAAACTGTTTGTGATAATTGAACAATATTTGACGGGCGTATCATGCTGTGGCGAGGCACTTTTTTTGTTACTGGTAGTGTTAGCTGTCCTATTATTGGTAGTGTTAGCTATTCTGTTATTGGTATTGTTAGCTATTCTGTTACTGGTATGTAAGCTTTTCCGTTACTGGTATTGTTAGCTGTTCTGTTGTTGAATTAGCTATTCTGTTATTGGTATTGTTAGCTATTCTGTTACTGGTAGTGTAAGCTTTTCCGTTACTGGTATTGTTAGCTGTTCTGTTGTTGATAATATTAGCTATTCTGTTATTGGTATTGTTAGCTATTCTGTTACTGGTAGTGTAAGCTTTTCTGTTACTGGTATTGTTAGCTGTTCTGTGGTTGATAATATTAGCTATTCTGTTATTGGTATTGTTAGCTATTCTGTTATTGGTATTGTTAGTTATTCCGTACTGGAAGTGTTAGCTATTCTGTTATTGGTAGTGTTAGCTTATTCTTTATTGGTACTGTTAGCTATTCTGTTATTGGTAGTGTAAGCTATTCTGTTACTGGAAGTGTTAGCCATCCTGTTACTGGTAGTGTAAGCTGTTCTATTATTGGTAGTGTTAGCTATTCTGTTACTGGTAGTGTAAGCTATTCTGTTATTGGTAGTGTTAGCCATTCTGTTACTGGTAGTGTAAGCTGTTCTATTATTGGTAGTGTTAGCTATTCTGTTACTGGTAGTGTAAGCTAGTCTGTTATTGGTAGTGTTAGCCATTCTGTTACTGGTAGTGTAAGCTATTCTGTTACTGGAAGTGTTAGCCATCCTGTTACTGGTAGTGTAAGCTATTCTGTTATTGGTAGTGTTAGCCATTCTGTTACTGGTAGTGTAAGCTATTCTATTATTGGTAGTGTTAGCTATTCTGTTACTGGAAATGTTAGCTATTCTGTTATTGGTATTGTTAGTTATTTCGTACTGGAAGTGTTCGCTATTCTGTTATTGGTAGTGTTAGCTATTCTTTATTGGCACTGTTAGCTATTCTGTTATTGGTAGTGTAAGCTATTCTGTTATTGGTAGTGTTAGCTATTCTGTTATTGGTAGTGTTAGCTATTCTGTTATTGGTAGTGAAAGCTATTCTGTTACTGGAAATGTAAGCTATTCTGTTATTGGTAGTGTTAGCTATTCTTTATTGGTAGTGAAAGCTATTCTGTTACTGGGAATGTAAGCTATTCTGTTATTGGTAGTGTTAGCTATTCTGTTATTGTTAGTGTAAGCTATTCAGTTACTGGTAGTTTTAGCTGTTCTATTATTGGTAGTGGTAGCTATTCTGTTATTGGTAGTGTTAGCTATTCTATTATTGCAAGAGGTAGTTTGACTGTTGTTGATGTTAGCTGTTCTGTTATTGATATGGTAGTTGTTATGTTATTAATAGTTATCTGTTATTTATAATTGTATCTGTCCTGTTATTGATAGTTGTTCTTTATTGACATTGTTCATGTTACACTACAGATCATGTCACATACATTATATAATGCAGTGGTAGCTGTTCTGTTATTGACCCTGTGGGATTTTTGTTACAGTACAGGATTTTAGTGGCCGGGGTATGGGAGCTGTATTGTAGCTTTAAGAATGAATTATAATGGTAATTGTTCAGTTGTTGTATGTAACCTGTACTCTATTAACAGGTCTAGGCGGCCTCTGTTTTTGGAGGATAGATTTTATCCTCTGAAAACAGAGGATAGCGGTCTTGCCACCTACCGGAATTTTCAAAACTAAGGGCAGTTAACTCTTAACCAAACAAATAACAGCAGCTCTTGCATATATGAACCGTACAATGATTTCGAAATCAAAACAAATAAAAGGTACAATTTCCTATGATGATGGATAATTCAGATATGAAATCAATATAACTATATTTTTGTAATTGCCGTCAATCAGTTATTCAGTATACAGCTTGGAAAACAAATATTGCACTTACTTACCTGCGACTGAGGTCAATTTATAACCACGCTGATTTTCCAGTACCGTAATTATGTGATAAGCAGTTTAGAAATTTTGATGAACATTTTTTTTTGAAAAATTAAGTTTAGTCATGTATTATTTCTTTCATTTAATAATTCTTTAGCACATCACTTTGTAATATTTTATTTGTTTATGTATACACATGGCTGTATGAATATATGTTAATTTCTTAGTAAACATGTCAAATTATTTATTTTATTTACTTATGCTATTCATATTATTTATTTATTTTTATAATTATTCATTCAATCCATTTATACTTTTATTTGCTTAAATTATAAGGCAGAGTATATTTTGCATTTTAAATACGCTTAAAATGTGTTTCATTTTGTGTTTCCTTTTTTTGAATTAAAAGAAAATATAACAGAAATATTAAAGTCCTTTTTTATTTGTCTAAATAGGGAAAAAGCATAAAAAATAAAACAAATTAACAAGAAATATTCAGTAATAATGGAGCGCAAAAAGTGCTAACTTTGAAAATAAATTGCAAAATATCTAGACACAGGATCTCAAATCGCCACATACAATCGATAGTTCAATGTTTGAACTTTTATTTGCATGTACTCTGGTGCTTGCACTTTTTGATTAAAGGTAGGCACGGGGTGTTTGAAAATTACCTGTGTTATCCTCTGAAATCGGAGGATAAACTATCCCACAATGCAATGGGGTTTCCATATATAGTAAAAATTTTGGCTGCCATATTGAATTTAGCTATCCTCCAAAAACAGAGGCCGCCTAGACCTGATAAATGACCCTGTGGGATTTTTGTTACAGTACAGGATTTTAGCGGCTGGGGTATGGGAGCTGTGTTGTAGCTGTAAGGATGACATTATAGTGGTAATTGTTCAGTTATTGTATGTAACCTGTACTCTGTTAATGACCCTGTGGGATTTTTGTTACAGTACAGGATTTTAGTGGCCGGGGTATGGGAGCTGTGTTGTAGCTTTAAGAATGAATTATAATGGTAATTGTTCAGTTGTTGTATGTAACCTGTACTCTGTTAATGACCCTGTGGGATTTTTGTTACAGTACAGGATTTTAGTGGCCGGGGTATGGGAGCTGTGTTGTAGCTTTAAGAATGAATTATAATGGTAATTGTTCAGTTGTTGTATGTAACCTGTACTCTGTTAATGACCCTGTGGGATTTTTGTTACAGTACAGGATTTTAGCGGCTGGGGTATGGGAGCTGTGTTGTAGCTGTAAGGATGACATTATAGCATTAATTGTTCTGTTATTGTATGTAACCTGTACTCTGTTATTGACTCTGTGGGATTTTTGTTACAGTACAGGATTTTAGCGGCTGGGGTATGGGAGCTGTGTTGTAGCTGTAAGGATGACATTATAGCATTAATTGTTCTGTTATTGTATGTAACCTGTACTCTGTTATTGACTCTGTGGGATTTTTGTTACAGTACAGGATTTTAGTGGCCGGGGTATGGGAGCTGTGTTGTAGCTTTAAGAATGAATTATAATGGTAATTGTTCAGTTGTTGTATGTAACCTGTACTCTATTAACAGGTCTAGGCGAACTCTGTTTTTGGAGGATAGATTTTATCTCCTGAAAACAGAGGATAGCGGTCTTGCCACCTACCGGAATTTTCAAAACTAAGGGCAGTTAACTCTTAACCAAACAAATAACAGCAGCTCTTGCATATATGAACCGTACAATGATTTCGAAATCAAAACAAATAAAAGGTACAATTTCCTATGATGATGGATAATTCAGATATGAAATCAATATAACTATATTTTTGTAATTGCCGTCAATCAGTTATTCAGTATACAGCTTGGAAAACAAATATTGCACTTACTTACCTGCGACTGAGGTCAATTTATAACCACGCTGATTTTCCAGTACCGTAATTATGTGATAAGCAGTTTAGAAATTTTGATGAACATTTTTTTTTGAAAAATTAAGTTTAGTCATGTATTATTTCTTTCATTTAATAATTCTTTAGCACATCACTTTGTAATATTTTATTTGTTTATGTATACACATGGCTGTATGAATATATGTTAATTTCTTAGTAAACATGTCAAATTATTTATTTTATTTACTTATGCTATTCATATTATTTATTTATTTTTATAATTATTCATTCAATCCATTTATACTTTTATTTGCTTAAATTATAAGGCAGAGTATATTTTGCATTTTAAATACGCTTAAAATGCGTTTCATTTTGTGTTTCCTTTTTTTGAATTAAAAGAAAATATAACAGAAATATTAAAGTCCTTTTTTATTTGTCTAAATAGGGAAAAAGCATAAAAAATAAAACAAATTAACAAGAAATATTCAGTAATAATGGAGCGCAAAAAGTGCTAACTTTGAAAATAAATTGCAAAATATCTAGACATAGGATCTCAAATCGCCACATACAATCGATAGTTCAATGTTTGAACTTTTATTTGCATGTACTCTGGTGCTTGCACTTTTTGATTAAAGGTAGGCACGGGGTGTTTGAAAATTACCTGTGTTATCCTCTGAAATCGGAGGATAAACTATCCCACAATGCAATGGGGTTTCCATATATAGTAAAAATTTTGGCTGCCATATTGAATTTAGCTATCCTCCAAAAACAGAGGCCGCCCAGACCTGATGAATGACCCTGTGGGATTTTTGTTACAGTACAGGATTTTAGCGGCTGGGGTATGGGAGCTGTGTTGTAGCTGTAAGGATGACATTATAGTGGTAATTGTTCAGTTATTGTATGTAACCTGTACTCTGTTAATGACCCTGTGGGATTTTTGTTACAGTACAGGATTTTAGTGGCCGGGGTATGGGAGCTGTGTTGTAGCTTTAAGAATGAATTATAATGGTAATTGTTCAGTTGTTGTATGTAACCTGTACTCTGTTAATGACCCTGTGGGATTTTTGTTACAGTACAGGATTTTAGTGGCCGTGGTATGGGAGCTGTGTTGTAGCTTTAAGAATGAATTATAATGGTAATTGTTCAGTTGTTGTATGTAACCTGTACTCTGTTAATGACCCTGTGGGATTTTTGTTACAGTACAGGATTTTAGCGGCTGGGGTATGGGAGCTGTGTTGTAGCTGTAAGGATGACATTATAGCATTAATTGTTCTGTTATTGTATGTAACCTGTACTCTGTTATTGACTCTGTGGGATTTTTGTTACAGTACAGGATTTTAGTGGCCGGGGTATGGGAGCTGTGTTGTAGCTGTAAGGATGACAGTTCAATCTCGGATCTGGAGGACACGGCAAATCTTGTTGAGGAGAACAGGACAAATTCCTCCAAGAAATCAATAGAGGTAATCTGAGTTCTGATGGTATAAGAAAAATAATCTGTTAAATCTTAATGTTAAATCTGTTAGATAAAATAGCTTGAAAGTCCAATATAAACTACTGATGACATTATTTTCATTTAGGGAATGAATTTAATAGCTTCTCAAGTAATACTTTATAACCTGGGTTGGGGCAGTATTCACTTTTTAAACCACAGAATGGTTTATAGAAAGTGTAAATTGTCCCAACCCATGTTATACATGTACATGTATAACTTTGGTAGATATTAAGTTTATTTCTTAAAAATGATTTCATATATATATATATATATATATATATAACCTAATTTCTAACCATGCAGATAGATTGTGCATTACAAGCAGAATGGATTTTTAAATTTTATATAAATTTATTTATAGAAATTTTATATGTTTATTCCAAATTTTATTGTCTGGATTGAAGATGTCTGATTCTGAAATTTAGGTTATACAAACAGGTAAAATAACAAAAATGTATTTCCACCAATGAGCTTTTGTGTTTAACAAAATACGGTTCATTTTATATATTCTCCTTATTATAAGAACAAACTTGTGATAGTAATTTCAAAAATGTGAGTCAATTTATTCAATCATTCATTCTTATTAGATCTAACAACAACTTGCAGTATATAACAGTTTATAAAGTTAAATTCTTAAGTTTTGACTTCATAAGGGTATCAGAACTATTGAATGACTTGTACAATCTAGATCAGGATACTCTAGATATAAAAAAAAATAATCTGCTTACTACAGTAAAACAAGGTTACAAGGAACATTCTTATAATGAATTCACCCTTATAGCTGTGATTTTCATTCCCAGTAGTATGAACTAGTGGATCTAATGAATTATAATTATAATGAATCAAATTTATTCATCTGTGGCATTTGGTTATAAGCTTGTTTTACTTACATGTATTTGTAATCGATTTATTTACAGCAAGCAATCCAAAACACAATACAGGCACGTGAAGAGTACAAGATAACACACACACCTATGTACCCCCCGGGACAGGTCCTACACATACAGGAAGTGGATACAGAAAGGTAAACAGTGGGTCACTTAAATAAATAGATAACACACACACCTATGTACCCCCTGGGACAGGTCCTACACATACAGGAAGCGGATACAGACAAGTAAACAGTGGGTCACTTATATAAATAGATAACACACACACACCTATGTACCCCCTGGGACAGGTCCTACACATACAGGAAGCGGATACAGACAAGTAAACAGTGGGTCACTTATATAAATAGATAACACACACACCTATATACCCCCAGGGACAGGTCCTACACATACAGGAAGTGGATACAGACAGGTAAACAGTGGGTCACTTATATAAATAGATAACACACACACACCTATGTAACCCCCCCCCCCCCCCCCCCCCCCCCGGACAGGTCCTACACACACAGGAAGTGGATACAGACAGGTAAACAGTGGGTCGTGATGGAGGCATTTCATTTATAGATAATTTAAATAGATAACACAAACACCTATGTATCTGACAGGTAAATAGTGGGGCATAATGGAGGTGTGACACTTATAGAAAACATTCATTATCCTTCTCCATGCCTTCTGTTTAGATTGGAAAAATTTATTTTCTGAATGATGCAAAGGGCTTTTCTAGGAAAAATAAACAGAGAAGGGTTGTTTTCCTTGTCACTGTAAATATTGGCATGAAAAAGAGCCTCATAGCTCAATGGCCAAAAGTGTTGAGTGCATGCACTGTCTAAATCTGGATCCTTCCACTGGCAAATGTGACATCCCAATACTCTGGTTTCATTAATTCTTAGGGATTAAAAAGAAAGTAATTGTTGAAATGTGAATTTAAGGACCGCTACCACATCCTATTCTATCATTTGTGAAATTTGAAGATTTTTGATCTCCATGATCTGACTCGACCACAAAAAACAACAAAAATAAATATTGTAGATATTGATAATGTTGCACTGGGATAATTTCATTGATTTGTTATCAAAAGTGAAATTGTTAACAATGAAATAAATGAAATTTAATCCCTAATGAATATTTCTGCCTTTACAATATTCAAAGAGAAATGATTTAGTGCACAGTATGAGTAAAACATTGTCCAGTGCAAACAATAACAAAGGATTCTTTTTCAGGAAATGTTTTGAAGATCCCTCTTACTTTGCTGAGTGGAAAGATCCCAAGGATTTCACAGAGATTTTAGTTTGTCCAGAAATGGTGTATGATCACTTCCCTGATAAAGTACTGAAAGCACTGGAGCAGCTCAGTCAGAAAAACTTCACCCCTAGATCCAAATTCAAGAGCCAATCTGCGGATACAAATGTCTAACCATTGTCATTTGTTGAGTTTATTTTAGTTATGAATAATGCTTGTGTATTATTCATCAACAATAGTTATCCTGATAACCGTAGAAATAATCCCCATGTTTATGGTTTTTCTACTTTTTGTAATTAGCATACTTAACTGAGTGAATATCCACATTAACAGTATACATAATTTTATGACGCCAAGAGCATGCAGGACATTCTCAAATGGTTATAAAATTTCTTTTTTTATTTGCAATTTTATTCTGTTTGTTTTATTCATATTTCATAATGAATTGGTGCTTTATAAAAGGTATATACATATGTATTATTAAACCATAATTAATTAATCGTTGGATTGTTTTGTGTAACAAACATTGTGAAATGACATTTCGTCTTCCACATACAGTTCAAATCTTAGAGTAAACTATAGTCCCTAAGTTTAAAAGTCAATCAGTACCATATCTTGATGCCTAAAAAAATATTTGTTGCAAGTGGTAGATTTAGAAAAAGTCTGGAAGATGAATATGGATATAGTTTTAAATTTAATTGTTATATATTTTTAACCTCTTAGTGAACCAAATATTTGCATGTATATTTGCTTTTTTAATTTCTAAATGACCTCATGTATCCTGAAGTATATATTTTTATATATGTAGAAGGAATGACAATTTGTTGTACATTTTAAGGCTCCATTTCTTTATCCTCAGTTTTTATTCATTATGCCTCCTTTCTACATGATAGTAGGGAGTTAGAATATAGAATCTGTCTGCTTGTTCATCTGTGTAATTGTGTCTTGGAATATAAATATGTTTCTTTTTGTGAGCTGTTCAATGGAATCTGTACTTGATTTAATGTTTGGATTTCCTAATTAATGTAAAAAAAAATGTGCTGAAGATCAATATAAGAACATTTCAAACTTGGTATATTATATTATAAAGCAGACATATCACTAAATTTTGACTATCTTTATTTCAAAATCGAGATTGAACAACTGGACATCATATCTTTAATAATACATGTATATCACAACTTAACATATTTTTTGCATTTAAGGACATACGCAACGTACCTTACCTACTGATAATTTTTCAAGATATTCTTAATTTAAGATTATAATGCCATCAGATGTTCATAGACAAAAAATCAGCATGCATTACCAGGGGTTTTGAAAAGATATCATTTGATGAAAATTCTTGTATAATTTAAAGAAAAATATACAAAAATTACTAAACATATATTCTAGATGTTTTGTTTATCAAAACTTGTTTAAGAAGAAGTGTATAACAGCATATAAAGACATTAAAATGTAGCAGACAGTTCCTTTAAGTATTGGAACTCTTCAACTCCAGAGAAAAATACAATAAAGTTCAAACTACGTTGCGTATGTCCTTAATGATCACCATTTCTATTTTTTTTTTTTTTAGACCTTATTGATAGATGACTGATTGATATACTTATTCAATTTGTATAAAGAAATGAAGATATAATCACATGCGTGCACAATATCAATGTCACAGTCATGATGTGATAAATGCTCACTTGATAAAATGTACTTCCAGTTTGTAAGGAACTGTAAGACAGTTCTATTTGAGAAATAAAATTGTTGATGATTTATTTTTTTCTTTGTAATATTCAATGATAACATGATACAGTGTATTTCCTTCTAAATGACATGTTTAGCCCACTTTAGCCTTCAGCTCAAGTGAGCTTTATGGATCAAAATTTGTTGTCTGTCATCGTCGTCATGAATTTCCACAATTTCATCCTCTCGTGCAGAACCACTTGGCCAATTTCATCCAAAATTACCACAAAGCATCCTTGGGTGAAGGAGATTCAAGTTTTTTTCCTAATGAGGGCATACCTTCTTTCAAGGGGAGATAATTAAGAATTAGTGAAACTGTAATGGCATATCTTTCAAAAATCTTTTTCACAAGAACTTCTGGGTCAGTAAAGTTAAAACTTATTTGAAAGCTTCATTACATAGTGTAGATTCAAGTTTGTTTTTTTTTAATAGCGATTCTCTGTAACCACTTAAACTTCTGCCACGCATGGTCACCGATTTTGATGAAACTTTGCCCATTATTACGACTTGACATCAGAAACATATATCAAATAAAATTTCGTTGCTATGTGTCTTGGTTGCCATGGTAACAGCCAGAAAAGTTGGAAAAATTGAGATTTTCAGCTACCTTGAATCTTTATTAAGCCTTAACAAAGACTAAGAATAACAAACAAACCATTCTCACAAAAATCTGACACCTTGTTGCCACTTATGCTATAAAGAAACTATTTAGAATTTATCTCGAAATAAGTGGTAACCATGGGTACATTCGGAATACATTTTAGATGCTGAAAAATGCAGAAAAACGCTCAATATTCACTAATGATAGGTGTTAAATGATCAAACTCAATCAACAACCTAAGAAAAAACAATAAAAATATTTGACCTTAAGTAATTAGGTATTGGCAATATTATTCTAAAAATAACTTTCATGGTTGCCATGGTAACACAGTGTTAGCATGCAAAATGTGTTGCTAAGATTGGGTTAATGCTACTATCTTCAGGAAAAACAATAAATTTCATGACTGGCACATATGCATCCTTAGGACCTTGCAACACCAACAATATAAGAAAAATTGGGATTAATTGTTACTTTGCAGTGTAACCATGGAAACAATGAACCAGTTGTTTAAAGTGATATGTTTTTGCTGCCTTAGGAATTTACTTACCTATCATTCAAGAAACATATTATTTGACTCACCTTGAATAGTACTTATCTGGTAGAACTAAAGTTGAATATCATATATTGATAACGTTTGTTGAAAAATACAACACTGTTGCTATGGTAACCAAGAAGGGAATATGTTCGATTTTGTTAATTTTATATCAATATTAAACCCTATGTGCCAGCTTTTTGCATCCAGTTAGAGATTGGGTGGCAGTCAAAATTGAAAGTCAGGTTAGTTGTTCATAATTATCAATCATAAAAGTTTTGGGAATCCACATACAAGGGTACGTATCCAAGGAAACAGAATATTTTTTCAGATTTTTATGCATATTTTTTCGGCTTATTTCCATAGCAACGCTCTATTTTAAGAATTGAATTTGAATTTTTTGAAATGTGAAAATTAGGGCCACATGAACATCTTTAAAAATTGATCATTAGTTATATAGAAATATGCTTTTTAAAAAGATAGGATTAGATTTAAACACTAAGAGAGTAAATTTAAAATCCCTTCTTGGTATTAAAACCATGGCAACCATTGTCAACCTATAAGAAATATCATATTTCTTCCTTGGTATATGTTACAAGGATCTTTTGTCTATTATTTGCTTGCATTTCAACCTATAATTTTTTTTATTCTTAAGTGTGTGATTTTATAAATTGAAATGAGCAAAATTATTACTTTTGAATACTTTGTTTCCATAGTAACGTATGTAATAGTTGATTTACCAAACATGTTTATCATGCATTTAAGATATCAGGCCTTCAACTTTCAGAAACAATCATTGACACTTGTTTGCTTTTCTGCAAACGTTAACTGTGAGACTCTGAACATGTTGAAAAATTCCATTTTTCAAACTTTAGGACATGTTGCCATGGTAACCATGACACGTAGCAACCAATTTCTGCCTGATTTAAGTTTACTGTATCAAAGACTTTTATCATAGAGAGTTTGGAGAAATTCTGAGACTATGCGTGCCACAGCTCCTATATAAAAGTTGTTACAGAGAATGACTCTTAACTCATGACACCTTGGGGTACGTAGGATGGGCAACAACTAGAGCTGGGTATCGGTTGGGAATTTCGCATTGCGATATTTTTAATTGTACAATATGTATTGCAATATTTTTAATAAGAGTTGAAATGCTCTTCTTATTTTATTAGCCTCCATATATAAGCAGAGTGTATAAAACTTTTATAAATACGTTGTAACAAAAAAGTTCTAGGTGATTTCATTACAGTTTGGCAATGAAATACAACCATACAACAGAAACCTTTACCGTTTGGTACTGTTTGGCACAATTTAAAACATTTCTGACATCTTAAATTACGTGTTTTACTTCATAAATCTAAAGCCAAAGCATTTTGCCGGTATATCAGTACTGGAAAAACGTATCGCAATACGATATTTTTTGTTAACGAATTGCAATATACCGCAATATCGATATTGAGCCCTAGCAACAACGATAAGGGCCAACCAACTACTAAGTTTTACGTAGGAATATATAGAAAAATTGTTTTTAAAATTTTCTTCTCAAGACAGCAAAGGCATGATATGTTATTTATATGGAAGTATGCTCAGGTAGTGTAGATTAATTTGTTCAAATACCAAGGCGGTAGGGTGGGCTACAATAGGTGATCAAATTTTTCGTAGGGATATGTAGAAAAACATCTTTTAAGAACAGCAAAGGCATATTTAGCCATATTGATATGGACCACAATAGGCAATCAAAGTTCTACATAGGAATATACATATATAGGGAAAAATCTTCCACTGAAGAACAGGGCCATAGTGACTCGGGTGAGCATCGAGCTTCATTTTTGGTCATCTTTTGAATGTCACTTCATGAAAACTTGTACATGCTTACAATGCCAGGGAAAATAAGCACTTTTCAGACATTCATCCCCCATACATGTAACATTCTACTCTCTGTTTTCATCTTTTGCCATGCATTGTGTGTTTCTGCATTTTAACTATACTGTTCAAAGACCAGAAGAGCTTATGCAATATTAAAATGTCCTTCGTCTATCCGTTTGTACCTGTTCGTCTGTCTGTAAATAGTGTATCCTTCATCTATCATTTGTATACATGTCTAACTGTCTGTAAATAATAAATTATCTTACATTCATACAGACGAGGGATACATTGTGCAAAACAGGATGGAATTACTTTTGGTAGTTGTCTATAGTGAGATGCATATGTTCAAATGATTTTTTTATACATTCTGCAATTTTATCACAGAGTGAGGTGAATTTCAGTAGGGGATTCCTCATGTCCATAAACCTACTATAGACAAGTCCCATAGCATGTCTGAAAATCCTCGGGGTTAGGTCTATTTTTAGTTTTTTTTTAATCTCGCACAGTCGTCTCAAGCATCCCACTGCGGGACTTGGAAACGGGCCTTGGGATGAGACCGTATAAACCGAGGCCCCGTGTCGCAGTAGGTGATGTCACGAGAAAGATTCCTGGCCTCACTGCTCAATTGCTCTGAGTGCCAAGTATAGCTCTTAATTTGCAGCCCTCCACTGTGGTTGCGTCTCCATATGAGTGAAAATTCTCGAGAGGGTCGTTAAACAAAAAAACAAACAAATCGTATCAAGCACAAATAAACCATGTTATTGAGAGTTTAAATCCATAAAACAAAAAAAACCCCTTGAATTCTGGAAAAATATACGCACATTTTACCTCACAGTGTACCTCTGGTAAGAACATATCCGTTTGTGTGCCTATCTAATTGTCCGTAAATAATAAGGAGCCCTTCCTTTATCCGTTTGTTACGTCACACTGGCCTTTCTAGGTCTTTGAAGAACTTTTAATGTACGAAAATAAGGTATTTTTGTTTCATTTTTATTATCTATTATTTAGAAGTCTACCTGACCATTACAAAGTATGAAAGTATTGTATTATACATTAAAAATTCTTGTACAATTCTTTTTTTCAATTGACCTATGACCAATTGGGCTATCACATTTTTTACAGTGATTAATTATCATAGATGAATGACGAAGGGGGATATCTTCTATCAGTTGAATACAAATTTCACTATAAGATCAATAGAGCCCTGCCCAGCACCAGAATACTTGACCCAGTGGTCCAGAATTTCACAAATCTCGTGAAAATACCCTTGCCCATTACAACTTCGTACTCTTTACCTCCTAGATGCCCAAGAGCATGGAAGAGGATTTTTGAAACATTTATGCATTTTAGCTATAAAACCAGTCCCACCCTAACACCAGGACCCCTGACCCAGGGACCATGAATTTTACAATTTTGGAAGAGGAACCCTTGCTCATCATGACTGTGCACATACTAGCAGTTTATCTGCTAAATATATGTACATAGGAGCAAAGGAATATTTTCAAAGAATTAATGCATTTTCACTATATAAACAGAACCGTGTCCTAACACCAGAGCCCCTGACCCAGAGGTCATGAAATTCACAAGCAAGATGACTATAGCTTCAAATGTATAAAAGTCTTATCCAATTTTTGAATTTAGTACACAAAGAGTAAAGTTCTTATAATTGAAAGGTATGAAATTATGACAAACAAAACTTTTCTGCGGAAAATTCTTTCGGCAAAAATCACTCTGATTTTTTTAAGTGGTATTCTTGGGACAGAGAAGAAGATTTATAAAGAAATGATGCATTTCACTATATAATCAATAAAGCTCCTCCGTACATGTAACACCAGAAACCGCACCCCTGTGCCATGAATTTCACAATTTGAGAAAAGGCACCCTTTCTCATAACTATGCAACCACTTATTTTATCTGCTAAATACTAAGGAGCGGAGAAGATTTTAAAGCATTAATACATTTTCACTATATAATCTATAGAGCCCCGACCTTACACCAACATTCCTAACCCAGGGGCCATCATTTTCACAATTTTGGAAGAGGCAACTTTGCTCATCATAATCATGCACTTCATGTGCTAAATATACCGGGGGAGAGAAGAAAGTTTTCTAAGAATCAATCAGGTCCTCCAACAAATTGTGCTCTTTATTTGCCGACCTGTTTTTATATTCCTGTGAAGTAGAATTTATTCAAAAACTTCTATGTGAGAAGAAATTAAAACACTTGCTGTGGCCAATTTGACATTCAGATATATCAATTAACAATACCATGTAATTACTTCCATTCATATGTCAACTCGAGTTATCCCAGTGAACTCAAAATAAAAGATATCACAGAGTCTGCTACATCTGTTTCATATTTAGATGTTTTACTGACTATAGACGATAAGGGCAAACTAACTACTAAATTGTATGACAAACGAGATGACTTCAACCTTTCCATCGTCAACTTTCCTTATTTATGTAGTAATATCCCGCAATCACCTGCATATGGTGTTTTTGTTTCCTAACTTATTTGATACTCAAGCATCAATTTTTAAACCGAAGCAGGCTACTAACAGAAAAGTTGATGTTACAATGATTTCAACAGCCTCGTTTAAAGTCTGCTTTTTGTATGGTTGTTACATGTATAACTTTGTATGACATGTAAACATGTATGACTTTTTAGCAAATATCACCTAAAACTGAGACGTATTTTTGGTGATGTTTTTCCATTCCAATTGTTAAGCCTTTATTTTTATATTAATTTTGACTACGGAATATTCCGTCTACCTGATCGATACATGGGGCTCATGACGGGTGTGACCGCCTGACAGGGGATGCTTACTCCTCCTGGCATTTAATCTTACTTCTATTATTTTCGAGGGTCTGTGTTTTATGTCATGTTTACATATTTCCGTTATTATTATTTTAGATCGATCACTGTTTGTTATCTTCACCTTTTTCATTCAGTGGCATTCTGGTATCTGGTGAGGGTATGATGAATGTTTTAATTCATTTACCCCCCCCCCCCCCCCAAAAAAAAGGATGTGTTCTCTCCAAAGTCTGACAAGTTTACACACATAAAAGATCTCTGGCTACTTTATATTATTATCGGAGGCCACTTTTACTCAATGATCATCCAGCGATAATATTCCACTTTATTCTTCCGCCTTTTATTACAATAATACACCAGTTATGAAAATCTTATGTATCCCCGAAGTATTTAGTATTATTGAGTATTTAATAATAACGATAAGAAAATAGAGAGAGGGGAAAAAAAATCAAAAACATGTACATGTATTTGGATAAGAACCTGTAGAAGATGTGTCCAAGCTCGAGGATTCATCGGTATAGATAGCAATGATTTGTATTTGAAAATGCAATTCAAAGCGGAATGACGTTACGTCCTGTTACTTATATAAAGGAAATTGTATTAGTATACAGCGGAAATTCTCGTGAATTTTACGTACATTCAGTCTAGCGATGTAAATATTGCTATCATGGACATGGAGGAAGGTGAAAACTGGCCCACTGGTACGTAAAAGTAAGCAGATTTCAGCCATTTGTGTCTTTCTGTTGCTTTGACAGGGTAAATCGTGTTCCAATACAGAGATGCTTTTTTTCTTGGATTTCGAAATACTAGTATTGTGTCTTATTTCAGTACGACTATGGAGGAAGAGAGTGCTATAGGGGAGAACTGCCTGGAGTCGTGCTATAAACGATGCTTTGGCTACGGTCAGCATGATCTACAAACTAAAGATTCAAAGCGCGACAGATTTGCCAGTGGCTGTGAGCAATGTTGTGTTCGGACCTTTTCTTGTATCTGCTGTTTGCCTTGTTACGATGCTGTATGTGAACGCTGTTTGAAACACAATTTCTGCTACCAGTGTCTGCACTGCTCTTGTTTCTATAGCGAGGAGAAGGTCTTGCCTGACTGTGATACCACCCCAGGGCTAGTACGTCAAACCTCCACCAAGAGCTTGCAGGATAAATACGTTAGTCCCTGTGCCGCCTCCAATTTCAGTATTCTAGAACAACCAGGGGCAAGCAATGCAATGGCGAACAAGGACTCAGCCTTTGTGAACCCTGCATTTAAAACAAGTGCTCTACAGAAGTCCCAAAGCGACGGAAAATTAATCGTAAAAGCTGTCACCCACCAACCTCCCAGGCTTTCCTTACTCATCTCCAAAAAGAATCCGTATCAACAAATGCGCGACAGCATGCGTGACAGCACTGAAAGGATTACGGAGGGAAAAGAGTCCGAAGCTCCGGAGAAAGAGGACAAGGGAGAGCCTGATGAGGATGAAGAGGGAACTGAGGCGGAGGAGGTAGAGATACACGTGACCCTGGGAGATACAGGGGAAGAAGAAGTGAATACAGCGAAAATAGAACCGGGACCGTCAGATCTCAACACGAACGTCTTCATTAAGGACTTCCGGCAGACAACCGTCTGATGAGGGGCCATTCTAGGCTGTCTTGTTTATGTATTGTATTTGTAGTTGTCTGAGAGTAAGCATAATGGAACGTTTATTTATTTGCTGTTCGATGAGGCTTTATTGAGGCATGTATTACTAGGAATTCTTTTTTGAGCAGACATTTTTAATTTTAAAAATTCTGATTTTTCAAAGAGGAAGTTTACACAGATTGTGTCAATTAATTTTAAGACTCTGTAAATTATACAAAATCTTATTTCTGACTTCAGGAAGTTAAGTATGAGAATTTTTATTATTAGACAACACTATTGTTAACTCAGATAAAGGACCACAAGACACGTAAGAGGACAGAAAATAGTGAATTTAAACTAAGCCAATAGATTTCTGTTCAAGTGACCCAAATAGTTGTGATCATAAGGAAACACAAGCTAAAAAGAGGAAGATTTTTTTAGCGCTAGATCTACACGGATATTATTTGACAATTTTAATAAGCGAAGTGTGATATCTATAATGCTTTTGTTCATAAATGTATGTATAGGATTTCGTTTCAAGTTTGCTTTCATGAACTAGTATTCATCAGTTTGAATCAAAACGAAATCTATGTGCATGATGATTATCCAATCGAATCATTGTTTCCTTCTTTCTCTAACATCAATATCCAAAATTTATTAGGAAGAACCTAGCTGTAAAATGCACGGGTGCTTGGGGACGGGACCCTCCCTCCTCTGCCTCCTACCACCAAGGGTTCTTTGACTTTTTAAATAGAATATTATTCTATGACATACGAAGGGTTATCAAAAAGTTCGTGGGCTGATGTGATAGAATTAGTACTATGCAGCGGGTGCTGATGAAATTTATGAGAAACATAAAACAACAAAAGTTTATGAAGTGTTGAAATTTTCAGCTTGATACGTTAATAATTTGCCTAATTATCAAAATACAAAAAACGCCATATGATCACCTGGCGCTGTCACCGTTGAGTTTCGTATCATCCGACAACGTCATTGTTTCTCAATGTCCACTCGCTCTGCCTCAATTCACCTTTTTATGACATTCCCTGGAGTTAAGTAAAGATTTAAACCTGTCTTGTTTATACGACTTTATAATGTTCTGAACAAGTAATTTCAATGTATAATATTGTAAAAGGGTGTATACATAGGTGATGATACTCGCTTGATTATGCCATAATTTACTTGTCGGAGTTCCATGTCAAACGCACATGAGTAGCGTCACTTTTCGACATGACTGGCGGCACCCAAGATACAAATCGACAATTAATTGTTCTTCTCTCCTCTCTCTGAATCTTTTTCGGCATTTTAAAAACAGGTACATTTTATTTCTCTGTAGCCTGTTTAAACATTTCAGAGGTCTATGCCAGTTTTTCCAGGGGTAAAACGTTATAGAATGTACATCCCACCCCTCTTCTGACGTCATTTTAACCCCTTAATTGTTTGGACATTTCATAAAAAAAATTACCGATAAGATTTCATTAAACTTTAAAAGATCATTTTACAGAACAATTGTTTCATACCACATGATTGCTGGACTATTCAAAATAAAACAATTTTTCTCCTTTAGACTCGAGTAGAAATTACGTCGTATTTTGAGGTTGCACCGCCTGGTCATGCCATTACTTACTAAACCATACATGATTTGTTAGAAAATAAGACTTATGATATTTAATTTATCTTATAGATAGAAAAGATGATGTTTACTGAATGTATCAAAATTCATAGATGTACCTAAAGCGGGTTTAATTTTATAGCGCTAGTCCACGAACTTTTTGATAACCCCTCGTACATTAAAATAATTGAAAAACCCCAAATATGTAGCCTTAAACTAACCTTTTATAAAAATTCACACTCACTGATGTTAAAAGAGAAGTTCTCTTGTAGAAACATCAGATTATAATAGTATTGAAAAGATGTTTATACGCGCACATTGTTTATTGAAACTTTATTTATCCCCCCTCCCCCAGAAGGTTGGAGGTTAATAGATGTTTTGTTCCATCGGTCCTACTTTTATGAATATGTAAGCGCGGTTGTTTTGCAACCCAGCCGGGTTCTGGATAGCGGCGGCGTGTCAAGCCTATGACTCTTGACAAATTCGATATTTTCAATGAAAAACAACTTTCTGTCCAGCACCATTAATACAATCCCATATAATTTCATAAAGGGTATATTCAGGAATTTCACAAATACATCTTGTTTTGAACAGTTGGTAACACTACATGTACGTACTTAATGTTTTGTAGTTTTATGTCACTTTGTAAGGGTATTGGTTAAAATCATATCATTTTTAACTCACCTCAACAAAGTTTGGGGAGCTTATGTTATATACCCTCGGCGTCCCAGGTTAAAGTTTTTGGAGCAGATTTCTTTTCGAGTACTTCTATGCCCTGTATTAATCAGAGATGCATGGAGGATTCTTCTAGTATATTTCATTGTACCAGTCAAGGTTTCAGATGCTGCAATTTCAGCTGAAGAATGATCAGGTTATTGTTGTTGTTTTTTTAGGAGCAGGTTAAAGTTCTTGGAGCAGATTAAAGTTCTTTGAGCAGGTTAAAGTTTTTGGAGCAGGTCTCATTTCCAAGTAACAATAAGCCCTATATTGACCAAACTTGCATGGATGATACATCTAAAGATGCACAGATGCACACTACTGCATTTGCTTTGGATGCTGGATCTGACTTACATTTTCCGGTTGAGTGACCAGGTTAAAGTTTTTAGAGCAGGTCTCATTTCCAATTAACTTTAAGCCATATGTTGACCAAACTTGCATGGATGATACATCTAAAGATGCACGCTAGCAGGCTTGCTTCGGATGCTGTATCTGACTGACATTTTCCAGATGAGTGACCAGGTTAAAGTAAACTATAAGGGCTATCTGAACCAAACTTGCATGGATGATGCATCACAGGATGAACACTCTCAAACTTGCTTCAGATGCTGGATATGACTTACATTTTCTGGATGAGTTTTAGGTAAGTCCATTCCCAAGTAACTGCAAGCCTTATCGGACCAAAACTGCATGAATCTTACATCTAGGGATGCACAATACTAGATTATTAGTATGGGACTTTGCTTTACTTAAAGACAACATTTGTTGAGGTGGCTCTGTAATCTCTGATTATCTATGTTTATTACACAGATTGGAATTACTTTATGTGACCTTATAGAGATAATAAGGTTGTACGTAAAAGTAACCGGTTATTTCACTTTACCGACAGACAAGCGTCTTCATCTATTCAAGTGTAAATACAAGAGGTTGCTTATTCAATATAAGTCATGTCCTTTATCCGGCCACCATAGTGGTAATGACTAATATGCAACAATTAAGGCGTTTTAAAACATGTTACATTAAAGTTTTGCAATTAAAAAAATAAATTCAAAACTATAACAATCCTTGTTCCAGTCAGATCCCCCGTGAAAGCGAGTAGCTCGGTAGCCACAGAGCTGATCCCCAGAGTTTCACCTTATATAGGTTTAAATTTTAAACCCACCCTGATCTTTGATCGTTTGATGCGTGTTACATTTCTTACCATTGGTAAAAAATACTATTATTAAACTCTTTGTGTTATTTTGCTTTAATGAAAAATTGGCACTAAATAAATCAAACAACTTTAAAAAATACAAGCAAGGGGTTCCACTCACACCCACAACTATTCCATGCGCTTTGATGGTGGAGTTTGGGAGAGATTCTACTATATTATGGATAAGTGACTTTATTAACAGGTAAATGTACATGCTTTTAAAACCATTTTACCTCTCCTGAAAAGAGATTTGAGATATTCTATGGGTTCATACCTTGTAAATTTGACCAAAGAAGAAGGCTAATTAAAAGGGAGCAGCCACCCCATTGGATCCTCCTATGAATCTTGCAGAGCGTAACAGGTAATAAAGTTTGATACCTGTCACTGCGATTTTTTAAATGCTTTTTCTTTAAATAAATAAAATTTTGTTTCAGTTTTTAACAGGTAATACAAGCGAGATAATTACGTGTGTTGACTGATTCACAAATTTGTAACGATATATTACGAAAGAAACCAAACACTTGCAGGCACTACGGCAAGGACAAGCTATAGGTAACCTGTACAGTCCGATGTACATTTACATTGCAGTCCATTTCCAGAACAATTTCTCCCTCCTCCTTCTTCTAAGACCTTGGAAAGACTTTACGGTCTTATTAAATTACCTTTTCTTATGCCATCATTGCATTAATGATATAATTGTGGAAACAATTCATTCATGCGTAGCTGTGACGATATATGGCTAATTTCGCCCTGGTTTCGTGTATCGTTTTTGTCTCAGATTTCGCACGGATACAGGATGTTTAATTAAAACAGAACTTGGATTGTTTGTAACACCCGGTGTAGGACTATATGGTCATCATTACTTGGTCCGGAGAGCTATGGAGACTTATTTATGGTCCGTCCTTTTTCTTCTTATTTACCTTGTTAGAGGTACGTGCGGTTTATCTTTGTCTCTTAAACTTTAAATATGAATATTGACTGACATACTATCGAGCCACGCCTTTAAAGAGGAAGAGACATTGTACTTTTTAACCACCAATCTCTAAATGTTAAATGTGCACTTTTTAAGAATATAATAATCAAATAATGTACAAAGAAGTTATAAATTTGACTTAATATGCAACTAATAATTTTTCTTAACCGTAAACTGAGTTTCTAAACATTATACAATTTTTTTTTATTGACTTAAAAACATTTGAACAAGTTTTTTGTGGTATATCGATGATTTAATACTCATACTCAGAAATCGAATTACAGCTCTAAATTTAAGGCATATGCGATCAAATTATATATTTTGTTTGGATCAGCTGTTGCATAATCAATTGAAGGTTTGTTTCTTGTTAAGACAATATACACACACGTGTTTCTGTGTATTAATTAATGACTACTTCAAGTGTCAAGTGGTCCAGGCTTGTGTAGTGGAAGGTTGGTATAGACAAAGTCAGTCAAGGAAGTAATTAGCAGGTAATGGTCAAAAATACAAGCTATAATTACACGAATAAGGTGTAGAGGTCTACACCGCCGTAAATGTGTTACAACCAGACAAAATTTACATCGAAGACAATACACTTTTTATATTTAATTTTAGAAATATGTTAGAACAATTATGTGATTGTAAAAATTATTATTAAAACATTATGACTAAATTTTTTATATTAATTCAACCAGACAATATAAACTTCACAATTTTATGGTTATAAAAATGATACATTTGGACTATATTCTCTATATTAATTCGACCAGACAATATAAACTTCACAATGAACCGTATTAAATTTCAAACAGACTGTTCTTTAAAGGATTTCTCATGACCCCCGACAATTTTCATGGCGGTTCGTGTTTTCTTATAAAACACGTCACTAAACAAAACTTCAGAAATGTAAAGAAACCAAACACTACGAAAAAGAGAAAAAAAAACCATTAATCCTTTATGCCTAGAGCTATAGGGTCCCGAATAAATAGGAATGAATTTTTATATTGATTAATTTCCCGTAGAAAACATATGTTGGTACGCATTGACCAGTAATTTAAGTGTCTGTCGGTGCTTGGGGTTTTCCAGTATTTTTTTTTTTATTTACTTAAGTAAATGTTTTATATATTGATTGACCTATGTATAGCTGTTAACTACTAGACTCAGTCTGCAACACGTAGACTACAGGTACTTGGTATAAACAAGTTACATGTAAATGTTAATCACTCAATATAATAACAATTTTATTCATGGTTTTCAAAAAAGACCTGTTAATTTTAAAGTGTGGTTATGTATAACTAACAATTCTCAAGACTATCACAATGACCTTGTTCTTAATAATACTTTTTTATTCATTTTCTCCGTATGTAAATGACATTGTAGGTAATGATATTTTAGTTCATTTTTTGCTCATTTTCTCCTAACTTAAGGAGGCTGGGGGTCAACAAATTAACCATCGGATAAAACTTAATTTTTTAGGTATGATATCTTAAGTTGTCAACTTTCATTTGGCAAAGAAAAATTTCATAAATTTTAGTTTTAAAATTTGATCATTTTTGTATATCTTGATGTGGAGCTCTTCTTCTAAAGGAGATCAATATAGTCTGAAAATGGCCACAACCACCCAGCCTTCTTAATGGCATACGACTATATAATACAGGCCCGAAGGAAGCAATTTCAGTTTTTTTTGGGGGGGAGGGGGGGCACAGTCATACATTTTCAGTTGAGGTGGCACTACCAAAAATTTCCCAACAATCAAAAAAAACAAAAAACAAAAAAAAAAAACAAAAAAAAAAAAAACAGGTCATCAACCACCAAAAATTCCTAAAATTCCTTGACAAGCAAAAAAAAAAGGTCATCAGGCGATTTTATTGAGGGGGCACAAGCATATAGTATCTATGTTTACTATAGTTATCTATATATCGGCAAAATTATTGGGGGAGGGGGGCCGCCCCCCCCGTGCCCCCCCTCCCCCGGTTCTTACGGCCATGTAATATACAAATGTTTGTATTTTTTTTTCAGAGCAGACTAATGAACTTTTATATAATGTTTCTTTTTTGGGGATAAGAGCTAAATAAATAAAAAGCTCTTGTGTCACAATATACATTTGAAATGTTTAGATTCTTAAAGAGGCAGGGGGGTCAACAAATTAACCATCGGATATAACTTAATTTTTTAGGTATGATACGAGGGGCTTTTGAAAAGTTCTGAGAACTGCTTGCTAAAATATTAACCATTTCGCGGAAGTTAATAAGTTTGATGCCATTTAAAAGAGCTGGAAAATTTGCGCTTATATCAACGTCATTTTCTTATATTTATGACGTAATAACTCCAAAAATGACGTCAGAATCTCGAATGTTTAGCATACTGAAAAGTCGCGTTTTTTGTCCGCATGAGAACATCGAATATTTTTTGTCAAAGGCTTCTTTGAAAAGATATTTTAAAGAAAATTTGCATGGCTGTAGCAATGGTACGGTAAATCAGCAATTCAATATTTTATTTTTTTTGCTTGGTTAATAAGCACGGTAATGTTATCTTAGGCATCCACAAAAGATTTTTATTTATATGATATAGCTGGATTTTCGATCTATTATATAGCTCTCCACTATATTAAATAAAGATATTCTATATAAAACCGAAGTGTAACAATGCAGTTTTCCACAAATGTATCTTGAGTATCAAGACTCTTGCTGTTTACGAATTAGACGCACGAAAGTCTTCCCCCGGACTTGTTTCTGTGCGCATTTTTTCACATTATTTCAACTTCGGCGATCCAAAACTCACTATTGCTTTTGACTTTCGACTCAAAAATATAAATCTGAGTTTCATTGCCATATACAATCTTATTTATTTTCCATGATTTAAAATTTTCGAACATATCGAGTTACGGTGGGGTTAGAACTACACCGGCGCCATTTTGGTTTTTACGAGAAAATATAGGACGCCTTAGCTTAACCTCTCTTGATTTTTAATCGTTCCCGCAAAATTGGTTAAAACATCTGACGAATTAATGCCAGCAAATTCTGTAACACCGTCCACTATTCTCCTGTGATTGTAAACTTTGTCATTTACATACAGCAGCGTCTTTTTTACCAAATATTTTGCGCGAGATTCGATAATAACATGCTATGTTTGACACACGCTTAAACCACCTTAGAACTATAGGAGCTCCTGAATATAACTCCATATAATAGACTGTAGTCTATGTAAACATTTTTCCAACTGTCAGTTGTGTCCGTTAGCGTGCATCCGAGTAATGAACAAAAGTTGACTTTAAAATTTTACTTCATTGAAATTGAGTCTCTTGTTACGTCATTTTTATGGTCATTATGCTAGACATTCGAGATTCTGACGTCATTTTCGGAGTTATTACGTAATAAAAATTACAAAGTGATGTCACCGTATGTGTATATTTTTGTGATCTGTCCAATGATATCATATTCAGTAATTTCTGTTAAACGGTTAAATTTTTATCAAACAGTTCTCAGAACTTTTCAAATGCCCCTCGTATCTTAAGTTGTCAACTTTCATTTGGCAAAGAAAAATTTCATAAATTTTAGTTTTAAAATTTGATCATTTTTGTATATCTCGATATGGAGCTCTTCTTCTAAAGGAGATCAATATAGTCTGAAAATGGCCACAACCACCCAGCCTTCTTAAGGTTTCCTGCATCCTTAATGTTCATAATTTCGGAGTATTTGCATTTTGACAAAAATATTGTCTGCCTGGTGTGATTATTTATTTTTATAACATAATACTGGGACAACACTCATACTCTACTTTTTTTAATCGTGTCCCCTATCAGAATGCCATGGAGATTCCTATACAGTGACGGGACTCGTGGTTTCCTCAGTATGCGCAGTGGCACTGTTTATCGTCGTCATTATCGTCGCTATCTTATTCACCGTATGGTAAGTGTTCAAGCTTATCGTCGCTATCTTCTTCACCGTGTGGTAAGTGTTCAGGCTTATCGTCGCTATCTTCTTCACCGTGTGGTAAGTGTTCAGGCTTATCGTCGCTATCTTCTTCACTGTGAAGTAAGTGTTCAGACTTATCGTTGCTATCTTCTTCCCCGTGTGGTAAGTGTTCAGGCTTATCGTCGCTATCTTCTTCACTGTGTAGTAAGTGTTCAGGCGTATCGTCGCTATCTTCTTCCCCGTGTGGTAAGTGTTCAGGCTTATCGTCGCTATCTTCTTCACTGTGTAGTAAGTGTTCAGACGTATCGTCGCTATCTTCTTCCCCGTGTGGTAAGTTTTAAGGCTTATCGTCGCTATCTTCATCACTGTGTAGTAAGTGTTCAGGCTTATCGTAGCTATCTTCTTCACTATGTACTAAGTATTCAGGCTTATCGTCGCTATCTTTTTCACCGTGTGGTAAGTGTGCAGTCTTGTACGTTTTCATTAACCAGATTAAGTACTGTGGATATATCAAAATAAAACAAAAAAAAAATAAAAAATAAAATTTATGCAAACCGATTGTGATGACATAAGTAACACACTTACTGCATATTAAGCATCTGTCTTCCAAACATCAATTCATCTTTGTTACGAATCTCCAGATTTCGTTTTTTTTTTTTCATTCACTTGTTGATTAGATTAATTAACATATAAAAAGAAAATTTTCTGTCTCCCTGGAAATTGCATAATTTTTTTAAAATCCATTTCCATATCCTTGCCGACATGCTCCTGATTTGTTACCATAATGTAGTCATTTTGAATTAATTTACAGTTGCTGTTTATAATCTTAAAGTGTATTTCCAAAAGTAGAATTTTTTTTCCTTTGTAACCCTAATGATTAGAACATGCTGAAACAGACCATTTTAATGCAATATGTACGCCCTTTAAGCCAGCTGTGAGCCTGGTTTTCAAGTATAATGAGCAGATTCTTTGGCAGAAGTATTTTGATTCATTCAAATACATGTAGAATTTTCTTACTAACACATATCCAAAATAATAGTTTGTCTTGTCTTTATAATCGACCACGTAAAATATCAGTAACTTTTATCTGATGTGTTGTTTTATTTTAGAATGTATTTGTTTTTAAATTCTAAACAGATGTAAATAATCGAGTGTTCATTTTCAATCCTCCAAAATCTAAATAACTCAACGAAAAATGTAAAATGTTCAGTCTAAAAAAAATGCGCATACAAAAGCAAAATGTAGAATATTTAATAATTTCAGGGCTGATTTCTTGAGAAAATACTATAAAAAGCGAGGAATTGATAAGTCTCCAAGAATAACGTACATAAAGCAGCGCCCCCACAGCATTAAAGGCACCATGTCTAAAGAACAGGAAAAACAGATGCAGCTGCAAGCCCAACAGAAACTCCGACCCAAACTCCCCAACACCTGGAGGGGTAAGTATCCAAAGGCCAGCTTTTCAAATAAAAGTAAATTCAGCAAGGGTTGTCTTTCCTTTTCCAGTTGCTCGCTAAATGTTGCTTCTCCTTCCTGGTTTTGTAGCTGCAACAGAACAGCAACCACCGCAACAGCAAAACGGGTGAGCAAAATCAACTTATGTTTTTTCCCTGTACTTATCTATATACCTTAACATAATCAAAATTTATAATATCAACCATTTTTTTCTTTTCAGAAATTTGGACGGACATTTTGGAACTTACACGGTATGTTTGCGTCAAGTTTCATTTGGAATAAAAAGATCTTGCACTTCGTAATCCAGACCCACGCTTTTCAAATGAAAGTAGAAAGTAACCACGTTTAAAATTGCAAATTAATACATGATGAACAAATATATTCCCTTCTTTGATGCCTATATTCACTTTCTGAAATGGGTCATTTCCCATTTAGTTTTATATAGTGCTTTTCATATATTTACAAGCAGACTCGTAGCAACGTTTTTCAAAAAGGAAGGAAAGGGGGAGGGCAAGCCTCCAAAAGAATTGGACAAGAAAATGACGAAATTCAAAAATCCTATTTTGGTGGGTAGGGGTAGTGATGGGACATAGAACTTTCTCTAACATTTCCGTTATTTTTTTATGCTAAAATTTACCAGACTACGACCTTACTTCAACCCAAAAAAGGGGGGGGGGCAAACAGCCTTTAAAAAAAATTCATATTCAAACTACATAGAAAAGCCCCCCCCCCCCTCTTCCAGTTCTACAGACCTGAAATGACTCTCATTACTAGTATTTTCTTACGCATTTGTGACATTGGTTAGGCAATAACTTAAAAGTTGACAGAATTTAATTATAGAATTGTTTTTTTCCGTTTGTGATTGTGATAATTCCTCTTACCCGCAGACGACAGGGGATTTCCATTTTGGTACTGAGGATTTCGTGGAGGATCAGTACGCTACGGTACAAAAATCTGCGGTTGTCATGGAGATGAAAGAGGACTTGGGACCGCATTCTGTCCGTAACTACGAAAGTGTCATGGATTTACCCGAGGAAACTCCCGAAAGGCCAACCAATCGGACAAGCCAACACAGCCACTTAGAGCTTATAAACCCTTCTGAGATGGTCGAAATCCCTCTGCACAAAGAAGAGAAATGTAAATTATTGTTATTTCTTCTCTCTCTAGACAAGTTTTACATAGATATTAGCAAAGCGTAAATTGTTCTTTATTTCCGCCTAAAGCTACAATGGATCTGGCAAAATATTACAACCTTAATACATTTTATAAAATACTTGGACTACAGTCAGAACAAGCTACCACATTTTACTTGTAAAGGCTTTTGAAACCTTTTATTGTTCTGCTTTAAAGATTGAAAATGGAAATTTTTAGACCGACGATTGTTTCCGATAAATGAACTACAGTAAAACCACTTGTTTCCAGGAATAAATTCAGAAGCGACAAGTACACAAAACATTCAGTGATCTAATTGCATGTATTTTGAAATCAAATAATCTTGTTATAGAAGTTTTCACACAACATATATATCATATTGTTTGCATGTTCATCATTCGCTATTGCAATAATCACCACATAAGAGTCAATTTATAACGCTTTTCCTGCAGATGTACAGAATGATAATATACAATTCATTGACACTGTGTCATCCGTTGACAATATCCTAGTATCATCAGACCGCCATTTGTTCGTCTGTAACGCTAAATTACTTTTTTTTTGCAGCCACTCATTTCTGATAAGATCCGTCAGTGTCCAGGCCGGCGGCTGGGGGTGACGAATCCATGTTCGCTGGGCCAGTGACTTGTGTCAAACAACATCATTACATGCCTAGTATTGCCATAATGTCATCCAGGGACTATGTTCGTGTATATCTAATCTGTTTGTTCATACATTTTATTGTGAATATCGGCAACCCGAGTAAAACGAGGGGCTATATTTTATACTCTTTGTTGACTAACGGAAATTATGGACAACAATGGGTCGCTGTGGTGTTTTTTCGCCATTTATATATATCTTTTCATTCCTGATCTATCAGTGATCTTTAAGTGCAGAATGTTGTCAATGTTTTGATATGCTTGTTGTATACTGCCTCCCTGGTTTAATAATTCAGACATTTATATGTCTTCTGATGAAGTAAAAATTCATTTGAAAAACAAATACGATTTTTTTGTTGTTGCTTCAAAAAGGTATGAAGTTCATATAGAAACTGAAACAAAATAAAACACTGCATCAAGTTCGTAATTTTTTAAGCCATATCAAATCAAAAGGTGCATGAATGAATAGCAAATTTTTACTCTTACTGCTGTCCTGCGGTTCATTAACGCTTCCTACTGAGGATTCTGGGATATCCGGATATACATTTGAAACAACTTATGGGTATTTACCTAATACACAGTTCAACCTTTCATATAAATTCACAAAAGAGGAAAACAAAATAAATTTGATTAATTTAATCTGCAAAACAATTCAGAAAAAACAAGATGTGTTTGTGAAACACTGATGCCCCCGTATGGCAACCTATAGCAAAGGTTAAACTTTCTCAAATGCAAATCATATATGTTGGTACCCAAAGTAAGGTCTTGTCTCGAGGAATATACCTGTGAAATATGAAAACCCTAGAAGCAAGCATTGAATAGATATGGAAAAGGTTAACTTTTTTTTTTTAAAGTATGTCAAACATCAAGGTCAAATGGTCAAAATTAATGGTGCCCAATGAAAGGCCTTCTCCCAAGAAATACACAGGTGAAATATGAAAGCCGCAGCACCAATCATACAAAAGTTATGACCAAGGTTAAAGTTTTTCAAAAGTAGGTCAAACTCCAAGGTCAAAGGGTCAAAGATGTTGGTATCCAAAGGAAGGTTTTGTCACAAGGATTACACATGTGAAGTATGAAAGCCCTAGCACCAACCGTTGAAAAGTTATGACCAAGGTTAAAGTTTTTTCAAAAGTAGGTCAAACTCCAAGGTCAAAGGGTCAAAGATGTTGGTATCCAAAGGAAGGTTTTGTCACAAGGATTACACATGTGAAGTATGAAAGCCCTAGCACCAACCGTTGAAAAGTTATGACCAAGGTTAAAGTTTTTCAAAAGTAGGTCAAACTCCAAGGTCAAAGGGTCAAAGATGTTGGTATCCAAAGGAAGGTTTTGTCACAAGGATTACACATGTGAAGTATGAAAGCCCTAGCACCAACCGTTGAAAAGTTATGGCCAAGGTTAAAATTTGGTAAAATTTTGCAAAACTGGGTCAAACTCCAAGGTCAAGGTCAAAAGGTCAAATATGGTGGTACTCCAAGAAAGGTCTTGTTACAAGGAATATACAACTGAAATATGAAAGCCATAGCTCCAAACAATCAAAAGTTATAGGCAAGGTTAAAGTTTTTGCGGACAAACAGACAAAAAGACAGACTGACGGACGGACAGGGCAAAAACTATATATCCCCAAATCTTCGATACGGGGGGCATAAAAACAATTTTCATGCAAAAGAAAACCATAATAACATTATGAATAACTCCTTTTTTATCTTAAAGCTGAACATGATTCGTAAAAGCAATGTGTCCGCCATTTTTGTTCGGATTCTCGCTATATCTGAGGACCCCTATATAAAGGGCCTGACTTGGACACTGTTCAGTATAATAAGTCGACACCGGTGTAGACGGACGTATGCTATACAGCACTCGGTAGTGACAAAAATAACTGTAATACCTCGTCTAATGCAGGAAAGTAGATACAAAAGAAACTTACAATTAAAGTTGTACAGGTCAGTGCATTATACAAACAAACACAGGTACATGTAACAATAAAATGTAAACAAAGGTAATGCAAGATAACCAGCACGAACACGGGTCGCCATTCCACGCCGATTCCTGTGACAATAAAGCAGTCAGGTGTAACGAATGCGAAGAGTATACCCTGGTGTTGATGTATCGTAGATATAATATTGAAAATGGCGTATGCCTATTTACGAGTCGTGTTCAGCTTTAAGCCACAAAAGATATTCTATAATTTACATAAAATATGTATATATTTATCAAATTGAGCATGAAATGTACAGATGAGCAAATGATCATTGGCCTCTTATGTTAGTACACATGTATTTCGAATAATAAATTCCAGTCTAAGATTAAAGAATTTAATGAAGTAAATTCTGAATTTAAAAGAGGGAGTTTAAAAAATGTTTTCTGTCCAAAAAAAAAAAAAAAAAAAAAAAAAAAAAAAAGAAAGAAAGAAAAAAAGACGTCGGTTCAAAATGGGACTTGAAAACATTTTTTTCGACCCCAATTCGGCTCAAGAGTGAAAATTAAAATTCCAAAACCTTATTGCACATCTGCAGGACACCTCCAATCATCTTGCAAAAAATGATATGGCTACTGTGTAAAATGTATGAAGAGTTCTGGGAACCAGGTTTTTGTAAAATGATAAAAAAAAAAATAATTTTACAACCCCCGTTTGACCCCTAAGGTGAAAACGAAAATTCCGAAACCTTGTTGCACATTTACAGGACATCACAAATCATCTTTCAAAAGATGATCTGGCTACTGCGTAAAACGTATGAGAACCAGGTTTTTGTAGGAAAAAATGTAATTATTGACCCCCATTCGGCCCACAAGGTAAAACTGAAAATTTAGAAATCTTATTGCACTTTTACATGACACCATCTATCGTATTCCAAAAGATTAATTGGTTATGCTTAAAATACAAGAGGAGTTTGAGAAAGAAGATAGTGTGAATGGAATTGTATAGATCTTCCTTAAGTATGTATGGAATGCCTGGACTGTCGTATCATGGTAAAATAAAACTTATCACTATGTGATGTACTTTTAAAATTACATGATGTGCTTTTGTCATTATGTAATGTGCTTTTGTCATTATGTACCATGCTTTTATCATTATGTGGTGTGCTTTTGTCATTTTGTGGTGTGCTTTTGCCATTGTGTGGTGTGCATTTATCATTATGTGCTTTTTTATTATGTGGTGTGCTTTTGTCATTATGTGGTGTGCATTTATCACTATATGATGTGCTTTTATCATAATGTGGTGTGCTTTTTTCATTACGTGTTGTGCTTTTATCATTATGTGATGTGCTTTTGTCATTATGTGAAGTGCTTTTGTCATTATATGATGTGCTTTTGTCATTATGTGGCGTGCTTTTGTCATTAATGTGGTGTGCTTTATGTGACTATGTGGTGTACTTTTGTCATTATGTGATATGTTTTTATCATTATGTGACTATGTGGTGTGCTTTTATCATTATGTGACTATGTGGTGGTCTTTTGTCATTATGTGATGTGTTTTTTATTATTATGTGACTTTGTGGTGTACTTTTGTCATTCTTTGATGTGTTTTTATAATTATCTGACTATGTGGTGTACTTTTGTCATTATGTGATGTGTTTTTGTCATTATGTGGTGTGCTTTTATCATTATGCGGTGTGCTTTTGTCATTATGTGACTATGTGGTGTACTTTTGTCATTATGTGATGTGCTTTTGTCATTATGTAGTGTGCTTTTGTCATTATGTGGTGTGCTTTTATCATTATGTGACTATGTGGTGTACTTTTGTCATTCTGTGATGTGTTTTTATCATTATGATATGTATAGGTAATGGCTATTGAAATACATGATCTAATGAAATATGCACATCAAATAATAAAGATTGATTGATTGTATGTTGTTTTACGTCCCATTCGAGAATTTTTCACTTAGGGTGAATTCACCATGCATCGGACACCCTTGCACTTCAGCAAGTTCTAGCGATATCGCTACCGACCGAACATTATCAAAATGGAGCTAACATGTAGTATGTGGTTAAAATATAAATTTTTGACACAATCGTGCCCTATTTATTGAGAAAATATAATTAAAAAACGATTTTTTCGAAATAAGTCAGAATTCACCATGGATCGGACAATATTCACCATGCATCGGACATACGATATTTAAACCAGAAAAATATCATACCTTGATCTCGGTGCTTTAAAATTAGTGATATCGAAACATTTTTATCTTTTATTTAAAAATTAATCTTCTAATTGAATTTGAATGACTATTTCGATCCACAAATATGAAGAGATTTTAGTTGCATCACATCGCCTTAGAAAGGCTTTACAATGCTAGTAATATGGAACTCGCGCCTTTGTCTCGTGGGTTATAATCAGCTAGTTGAAAGAAATAAATTGAGTCTACTTCTAGTCGTCATATATCGATAATTTGTATTTTCACTGAAAATTTAGAGTTTCTATTTTCTATTTCCGTAAAAAACAGCTGTCATTTGGGTTTTACATGAAAATAGAAGTGATTACCCATGCATCGGAAAGTGTCCGATGCATGGTTAATTTGTGTCCAACGTACGGTGAAATAAATATACTAGTTAAAAACAACTCTAAAATATATTATACAAACATTGAAGTAAAATTTTTGAAAAATTTCTGTAATATTATCAATCATTGGCAAATTTTACCAAGGTCCGACCCGTTCCGTTGACGTCTATTTAAAAGAACGACAACTCTAAAAATTGCAACATCGTAAAAATCTGGTTACACCCCTTTGATGATGCAAAATATGACGTAATTTCAAGGCCATTCTTGTGGTATTTTTATCACAACATGAAAATAAAAATCGACATCATTAAAAAGTTTAATTCTTCACCTTCAAGACAGAAACAAGTAAAAACACGGAGAGACTCAGGTTCAATGAAAGTTTATTGCTTAAAGTTGTTCGAAGCAAGGTATGTGGCTCTAAATTCGCTCTTGAGTACATCTTGACCTATGATTTTAACAAGAGGAATATAAAATAAATTATTTAAAAAATTGAAATAAGAAATGTTTTATATTGAAAAGTATATTGCAAATATATAAAAAAGATAAAATAAGCAGATTTTTTCATCAA